AAGAATCGTTGATTGGCTGTTGTACCGGAATCATGCACAACAACCAATCAGCACTTCTTCAAGATTTATAAAATATGACGTGAGCCATAGCGGCATAGGGTAGGTGACCCCACCAGCATAGTTTTCACAAAATCTTGTCAAAACATAGGCAGCCCACTAAACGACTGAATTTAAATTAAAACTGCTGTGAAATTATAAAATTTTACGAGAATAATCACAAATTAGCGAAATATATTGCGAAATGTAGCTTATATTAAATCTCCACTCGATTGCATTATCGGCGGACTGACGTAATATAAAGTATACCTAAGGTTGGCAGGGGGTAATTGAACCGTTTGAACTACACACAAAAAATATGTCCGTAGTATTTTAAAAAGCAGAAAGAAAATAGCCCGAAAAACAACATAAACATAAACAAGGATAATTTTACTAACCTGTCTGTAACTTTTTTTGTCAAAGTACGGCTTTAAATGTTGCCAAATTTACGAAAGTTTACGGTGTTTTCTCGATATTTTTCTCTGTGCTACTGGACAAATTTTTCAAAATAAAATTCAGCTGTTCATTGGCTGTAGCAAGTTTCGTCGTAAGCAACGAAAACACGAAACTTGCTACAGCCAATGAACAGCTGAATTTTATTTTGCAAAATTTGTCCAGTGCAGGATGCGAGCATCCCGCATAGTCACAGAGAAAAATATCGAGAAAACACCGTAAACTTTCGTAAATTTAGCAACATTAAAAGTTACAGACAGGTTAGTAAAACTATCCTTGTTTATGTTTATGTTGTTTTTCGGGATATTTTCTTTCTGCTTTTTAAAATACTACCGGACATATTTTTTGTGTGTAGTTCAAACGGTTCAAACCCCTTGCCAACCTTAGGTATACTTTATATTACGTCAGTCCGCCGATAATGTGTGGCGATTTAATATAAGCTACATTTCGCAATTTTTTTCGCTAATTTGTGATTATTTTCGTTAAATTTTAGAATTTCACTGCAGTTTTAATTTAAATCCAGTGGTTTAGTGGGCTGCCTATGGTCAAAAACCTAAAAAAAATTGCTTTTTTAAAACCCTTAGAATGAACTTTTGAAGTTCATTCTCTAAGGGCTTAGAATGATGAGCTTATTAGCTCTTGGGGCAAACGTTTCTCAAAATATGTTTAAATAAAAACTTTTGAAGTCAAAACTTTGGGAGAATGTAGTAAAATTACCAGTGTTTGAAATGCATAAAATTATGTAAATCTTTTATTGTTTTTGCTTGTAATTAGCAAAATATTCATACTTCAGTAAACGCTGTAATAAATTTCAGTTAAAAATCTTGCTAACCTTGTCCTAATAATAAAAAAGTAGACTAGTATATGCACGCCCAAGCCACAGAATAAAGACACACAGAAGGTTGACTCAGCCAAAAAAGCATAGCCGCTGCGACACCATAATTCTAGGCTGTTGTGGTATTTGAAAAAAAAACGAAAACCAATATCGGGAAAAAATACCGATAATACCGATATTTCGATATTTTTCGCGATTGTATTTTGCTTAATTTTATGCAAAATTTGCTTAATAATTATGCAAAAGTTTCTGTTTTCAAATGATGCCAAACAGCCATGATATAACAGCTTTGACTCATCGGGTGTGTGATATTTTCAATAAAGTGAGGCCAGTGGTCAGTAGCCTGTGAACTGTCCGCTTTAAGAATTGAAAATGCATATTACTTATTAGCACTGTCACTGATTACCGCATCGGATGAATCATGTGTGACATTTTTGAGCGGGAAATTGTTTCAAAACATTTTATTCAACTGCGAATTCGAAACAAAGGTCGTCCTAGTATCTCACCAGATAAACAATGTCCAATAAAGTTAGTTTTTGTTTTTCTAAAACATTTGTAATCTACCGTTATTTACGTTCCAAAAGTTCATTTCTTGGCAAGCGCGAAATGACATATTACACCTTGCAACGTCAACGTATAAACAAAGACGTTTTAGATCTCGCTCTAACCTTAATTTATGGATTTTACCGTGGAGTTAGCACATTGATCATCTTTGTCCTTCTGAAATAACTCCAATCTATAAATACCGAAAAATATTGATATTCCGATATATCGAAAATTTCAATATCGAGTAATCAGTATTTATAAAACACCGATAATTATCGGTATATCGATATACCACAACAGCCTACATAATGATGACGCCATGGTCCCAGCCAGTGCGCTTATGAGAGGCAATCCCCCCTGGACATCCGCCATTTTGAATATTATCAGGGGGTGAATGCCTCTCATAAGTGCACTGACTGGGACCATGGCGTCAGCATTTTGATGACGAATTACGGTTACGCCAAAATCATAGGAAAAACCAAGAAGCCGACCTTCTGTTTGTCTCTATTCTGTGCCCGAGCGAAAAATTTTCACATGTGAGCTTTCAAAACTTTTCCAAGCTATGAGACTACATTATGAGACAAATACCACACATTTTTGGGCTGCCTATGGTGACATTGACAAATGTAAGTTTCTATAAATTTCAACAAAAGAAATTCTTTCAGAGATTTATTATCTTTCTGATTACAAACTTGTCATCTGCAACTGATTTGTAAAATCCAGAAAATATTGTGCTTGACTGGTAATGGATGAGTCAATTCCAGGAGTAACCACCCCGCCCCCCCCCCCGGCAACACACCCGGGAATTTGATTTTAATTGGTTACAATAGTGTAAATGCCCGAGTGCCGGGACACAACTTGAAGACTAATGCACAGCCCTTGGGCAAGCTGAGAGTGGAAAATGCCCCACCCCGGGGACGATTTTAAACATTAATTAAACTTTTAATAGCATATAATAGCATTGTCATTTAATGAACATTATAGTATTAAACTGCTATGGAATATTATAAAACTTTAAAGACCATGTAAAGTCTGTAATGTAAACAAACGCTTTGTTTACATTTTGAACTCAGTGCTACAGTTGTAAAATATGATTAGATATATATTATTATACTGAATTTTTAACGTCTCTTCTGGTTCGCTATGCTTGAAAATGAATAGAGACTAGAGATTCAATTCAAGAAAGTTCAAAAGATACGAAATATTAATAACATTCCAACGGTCGGTCCCGACCATTGGAATGTAAGCCTGCACAGAACGTATGCGCAGAACGGACTTTACATGGTCTTCAATATAAACTTGAATCTTGCTAAGAGTCGTTAAAAGTATTTAAACAATGAAATCATAAACCTTGATAGTTGTATTTAAATTTGCATGGCACAGGTTATAATTTTCACTGATTCTGACAATAAATTTCATGCCACCTTCCTTGACCACGAGGGCGCAAAATACTAGTGATGGGCGATTACCGATTACTTGGTATCGATACCACCCGATACCAGGCCCAAACAGTAGTCGATACTGCATGGTATCGAAAAAATGTTTCGATTACTTTTAAAATTAGACATTCATTATAATCATATAGTTGTGTCATCGTTTTCATGGTTACCTCTAATAAAATTTATGTACTTTTTTGTATTTTCCTGCATTTTAATATCAAGTTAATCAAACTTCCTTTATAGGCTTTATACTTTATTTGACATCCTATCCTCGCCAACAGAATAAATTATGAAAAAGGCGGGAAATAAAGTAATTTTTGTTTTTTATGTGTTAAAATGGCGGATCAAATCGTTACTGTTAAAAATATGTAACTTTCTGAAAATATATCGTTACTGTTACAGTAGAAGACTACCGTACTTCTTTAACAGTTGCTTCTTTATTAAGTGACTTACATTTATTATTTTGAAAATTGGAGGAAGTAATCGTTTGGGTAATCGATAGCTCGATACTTTAATCAAAAAGTAATCGGTATCGTATCGAAACCGATACTGGTGGTATCGCCCATCACTACAAAATACGATCAGCGTGCCCACATGCGCGCCTGAAAGTAGGTTTTGCTACCTTAAAATTTGCAGGTGGGATTCTGGGCAACCATTTGTCAAATCCCTGGGATCCTTAGAGACTATGACAATACCTGGCCCCCGTGCACGTATATGAAAGGCAAATTCCTGACCCCTGTAAACTGTCTATCAGGCAAATTCCGGGGGGGGGGGGATGGTTACTCCAGGAATTGACTCATGCATAAAGCCCATTTTCCACCAGCTGGATTCGCCTATTAGTGGAAAATGGGCTTTGATTAATATATTTGTTTGAAATTTTCCTGATCAGGCCAATCACTGATTTTGAAATTGTGTTTTATATGTGTTTCTCAAACTCACCAATAATTCATGATGGAAATTCCAAAGAAATGCATATTAATTCTGTATTTAGAAATAAGAGGAAGATTATAGCCGTTTTTCATCAACTTTAAACTCGATTTTCTCTTATTAAAGTTTTGATTCGTTAGAGAAGCTGTATCCAACACTCGCAAATGTTCTTCCTCTGATTTCTAAATACAGACAAGCTGGTTAAAAAAACTCAGCTTCGAAATCAGAGGAGGAACACTTTAATACTCGCGTTACTCTATATTCGAATATGCCAACCGTTACAATACTGCCTAATATTTTTTCATTAGATTTTAGAGAACTGTGCAGTGTGTAGTAGGAAATATAAAGTAAGCATTTCAGAAGTCAATTACTCAATTAAACTGTCCATGCGGAACACATCTAAACTAAATAAGCAGACGTATCATCATTAGCAACTACTTGGAAGGTTTTAACTGGACGACATGAAAGAACAGGCCCTAGTGGACTTTATAACATAATAAAACTCTTACCTTTTCGTTTACACACGCTGATATTCTGCTTTCACTTCGGCATCGTTTCAACCTTGTTTTCAAAACCACAGGGAAGTACTCACATGACATTCGATATGGTGTGAACTCACTCATTTCAATCACTCAGAGGGCTTTTTAAAGGTGATCTACAGTCCGATCTGCGCATGTGCACAAATGAGCCCACTTTTTATGATACAAACAGTTTAACTATGTTTTGAGTTCTTGAAAAGCCTAATTGTTGTTTCTTGATCATTTATTATACTCTAGAAGCTTGAAAATATAAATAGTTGTCGAATAAAGCTCAATATTTTGGACACGAAAATGTAAACAAAGGCTTTGTTTACATACGGACTGTAGATCACCTTTAAGAAATTGCAACTACTGGGGCCAACTTTCAATGAGGGCCTTTTCCCCGCACAGTTATGCCCATAATTTTCCGCAATTATTTCCTACATTTCTCTAAATTTTAGCTACAATTATTAGCTTTTAATCAGTGTCACTCAAATATTTTAGTTTCTTTCCTTCCTATCCAACTGGGATTAGATCATTTGCCGACTACCTGACGACTAGGGCTGTTCCAACCCCCGCTCACACCCCCCCCCCCCCTTTTAGTGCTACCCCTGCCTGTTCTGACTTTTATAAGATGGAATGTCGAGAATGTGAGAAGATATGAGAAAGAAGGCCGACGCAGCTTTTTCAAAAGGGCCCAGTTCATCTGAAAATCTTGCTTCACTTCGCAAACCCCATAGGCAAACACCTGTTTCTGGTTATTCTTGTCATGAAAGAAAACGAGAGAACCTGAGTCACCGCCTTCCAAGAATGGACCACCACATCCCTTAAGGTGGCTCCCTAGGGTTTTTTAATTTACTACACTATAGTATTCAGGAGACTCCTGTTTCTTCACGTTACATGACATAAAAACGAAATTTATTGGACACATTGACAATGTTCTCCTGAACATCACAAATTGCAACTTTTGTGTTAAAAATCTGTTGTCATGGCAACAACATGCTTAGAATAAAGCCCAAAATTTGTCTTTTTCAGGTCATTTTAAAAATTCCCTTCGGTGAAATTTTTTAAAATTTTGCATAAATGGTCATACTTGTATAATGATTTTTTGCCCTCAATTTAAAAAAATTAAATCGATACATTTCTTAGAAAATTGAAAAAACGTCAAAAATCAATATTAAAAATTTTCCCTTCGATTTAATTTTTTTAAAAAAGGATATTGCACTTGCTGTGCCGGTACTAAAAAATGTGCAAAGTTTAAAAAAATTTTACCGAAGGAAAACGGAGAAATTTGGGATTAATTTTCGCAATTTTACTAGATTTTTACGCGAACAATTTAATACCCCAACTGACGTGTACAGGCATTCTGCATAAAACAACAAGACATGACTTTTTTGAAATCACAAAATACGAATTATGTTTGATATACTGTTTATAACTGTGTCGGTTATTGGTCAACTAAGCGTGGATTATACATGTAAAATTGGCAAAGGTATTTAGGTAATTATTAGTTATGATTTCTTGGTATTAATTTGAAAAATGTTTGTCAAAATTCGTCCCGTGCGAGTTAGTACATACGTCGGATGTTTTCGCAAAATGCCCGTTCAAATTTCAGTTTTTATGGTGGCCTATGTTTGGAGTTTCGGCCCTGCTCATTTCACCAGTAGAGGGCTCATTATTTAAGTCATCTTTATTGTCATAAGTGCTGCTAGATTGTGGAGAAAACACTGCAAATTCTTGAGAAAACTTTATATCATATCCCAATGTCAGGGCATTTTTTAAGAATTCGTCAGTGGGGGGGCCATCTACAAAAAGGGACCATACTATACCGAGTGTGGAGCAATGATAGATGGTTTGTTGGTAACATAAAGTTTGGTGTGGTATCGCATTTAATAGTAGGGGGGGGGGGAGCAGGGCCGTAGGAAGCTCTTTTCGTTTGGGGGGGGGGACTGAAAGCGAGGGCCGAAGGCCCGAGGAAATTTTTAAATTTAGAGTCTCTGAAATGCCATTTCCTGGACTTTGGAGAAGATTTGACAGATTTCTGATTGTCAGAAAACAGCGTTTTTAGTATGTGGAAATTTAGAATTCAGTAGTACTAAATGGGCGAAGGTGTATTTAATTAACGATATATTGGATAATATACCCTGGAGAGGGTCTGGGGTTTTCTCTCCCAGAAAATTTTTGTATTTTTCTACCCCTATGACTGCAATTCCCTGCATTTTCTGAAACAGATTTTTGGATATACAGCATTACATTATGCTGTAGATAGACTGAACCTTCAGTTAAGTACTTGCATAGTATGTTTATGTAGATACCACAACTTGGCCGTCACTTAGGGAGCCAGCTTGATAAACTTAGAGTTCCCGACTCCCACAAAGCGCCACCATGGTTGGCACAGAGCGAAAAAATTTTGAAAAATTTGCGTCTCTAAATCGTCGGAAATGGCATTTTCAAAGTCTTGTATACGTCTTTTGTTAGGCCCTTTCATTAATTCGTTCATTAGGATTTGCGAGTCTATGATATCCGCGAGTCATGATGGATTATTACGAGAAATGTTATCAAAATATCGATATTTACAGATATTTGATTATATGTATATATGATTTCAAATACTTCTAGTTTCGAAATCAAATTGTTTTTTTTTTGGTGGGGGGTGGGGGGCAAAATTATCCCCCCTTATAAAACACTTGGTTGAGGGCCTGTTGCCCCCTGCGGTCACTAACTTGTCCAACAACTCAAATCTATAAGGTCTGGGAAATGCAATCCACTGCCTGGGAAATGTTTAAAATCTAAGGCGTTTATTAAACATAAAAGACAGGACATAAGATTCACAAAGCTAATTTCAGTTACTAGAATATCAAACCTTCCTTCTAAATTCCATGTTTTGCTTATATTTTAGAGAAAAGGGACTTTGACTGGGGGGGCCAAAATGGTTGAGTGGGGGGGCCACCATGGGGGCTGGGGGGGGGCTTTGGCCCCCCCAGTTATATAGTTAAAAAATGCCCTGCCCAATGTTCGCGATCGAACCTGGCGTACGGCGGTTCAAAAAACTTCCAGAATACCGCTTGAAAAAAAACAAGTTTACATTATCTTCTTTTGAAACATCACATCCAAGTATCGTTTTGTCTTTTAGAACTCTTTTTATGCTTTCAACTAAAGCAAAGTTCACACTTTTGTTTCAAAAGAGTTCCATATAAAAACACAAACGTTCGTTCGAAGTCACACAAGTTTTAGTTTACATATATACGAAGAGTAACCCCCGGAAATAAAACCCTAGGGAGCCACCTTAACGGCGAATACATTCTGGAATAATGGCTCCTGTTCTTGGCTGTAACTAAAATCGCAAAGAACAATATAGCCACGGGTTAACGCCGACGAAAAACCAATTTTCTCCACTTCCACTGGATTACTATCACTTTCATACAATTCATCCCATATACTATCTCAATCAGGAGAAGTTGCATCCGCTATTTTGCAATCAATTTTAACGCCATCCAAAACTTTCAGAGACAAAAATGTCACATTCGTTGTCAAAATGATAATTGTCAAAACCACCAAGACGCGTGCAATCCGTTCCATCGTCTCCAAATAAGATGGGCTCATTGTCGTTCTCTGTATTGTCTTGTGTAAAATAATTTTGCTGTTTCTTTGCATAACTTTCATAAGCTGGAAGTGAATTGCGCATCTTCTGAACATCTTCTACTTTATTGAATGCGGCGTTTAAACGGTTTTCATCAGTTGCACAACCAACATGAAAGCAGGTGAGTGCATAATGTTGTCCATTGAGGGCGCAAAACATGGTTAAAGTCCCAGTTCCCTGGACCTGAGGTACATCAACTTTCTCGTTCTCTTCAGGCACTCGTAAAGGGTTTTTATTGGTACATCTGGGGTTACTGCAAGCTAATACACCACCACCAGGTGCTGCTGAGACAGAAGATGATTTACATCTCAATTTACTTAAAAGGAGACCCAAATATTTAATTTTTGGTTTTCTTTCAGGTTCTCGAAGGAGTTCAAAGTGTTCCTTAGCGTCGTCACATTTGAATTTCTCTTCAAGTTCACGTCGTACAAACGATATCTTCACTCCTCTTTTAACTGTGAGGTACAAATGTGGACGAGGGATCTTTTTGTTTCAACCAACCAGCCCATACGCTCCACACAACCAAGGAAAACTATACAGAAGCAATGCCATATTAATAATGCAAAAACAGCCACCAAAAATTCAATTCATAGTTCTAGATCAGGGCCGTAGAAAGCTCTTTTCGATTGGGGGGGGGGCTGAAAGCGAGGGCCGAAGGCCCGAGGAAATTTTTAAATTTAGAGTCTCTAAAATGCCATTTCCTGGACTTTGGGGGAAGATTTAACAGAATTCTGATAGTCAGAAAACAGCGTTTTAGTATGTCGAAATTTACAGGAAAGTATGGGCCAGAGTGTAGTATTATAAATGCGCGGCGGGAAATTTCGTCGTAAATGGCAGTTGCGCGGAAATGAAGGCAGAACATTTGAGAAAATTTCGAAAATCTGGAGTCTCTAGATGGTCTGAAATGGCATTTTCAGAGTTTTCTTCCGCAAGACCCAACACGCAAAAGACAAAATAAATCATTAGTTCATCAAAAATGTGCAGATTTTGTGGGATTTTCTTGAAAATGCGCGACAGAAATTCAGCTAAAATTTCTACGCGAGGAACGATCTGGAGTATGAGTAATATCTTCATTCTTTGCAGTTTGTCACAGATTAAATGATAAAGTTTGCATTATTAGCAAATTATTGAGGGGGATGCAGCCCCCCCAGCCCCCCCCCCCGGTTGCTACGGCCCTGTAGATTCATAAAAAACAATACCATTGCTCCAGACATTTATTCATTTCACAAAGTAAGTATGTTAGGGACGTGCAAGGGTGCATATATTATTTTGAACCGTCTTTGCCAGTGTAGGTAGTGGCAATAATAACAAAACTTGGGTTGATAGGGATACAACTACCTGAAAAATACAAGGAGAACTTCGACGTTTTGAGTGAAGGCTCAATAATTGATTCATTGCGTAGAATTCGTGGTCATATCAGAGAATGTTACCAGTATAACAGAAAAGCGTTTAGAAGTATTATAAAAACTACCATCTGAGAATTAAATTGTATCTGAATGAATTAAAAACGTGGAATTGACCTCATTGGTTATTAAAGAGCGATTAGGGACCGCTCAGTATTTATTGTACAGGGGGGATTGAGGAGAAACTGGGGGGGGGCCTTTAAATTTTTCAAAACCTGAAAGGGGCGGCTTTGAAAAAAATACAGAGAGACGAAAGAAGGGGGGCTTTGAAAATATTTACCAGTTTGAAAAAACATTAGTAGTTTTAAAAATGTATCACAAAACAACTTAACAACAAATAACAATATTTATAGACTTTAATATTCATAAATGGAAGTCAAATAAAAAGTCTCTCGTGTTCATGTAAATAGACAATTCCCATTATAGACTAATTTTAGAACTAGGCAAAGAGATGCAAATCAAGGCCGGATTTTGGTGAATATAGTGGGAGAGGTGGACAAAAATTTTAGGAGAGGTGCAGCAGTCTAGCTCACAACTCCCATGGAAAGTTAGGGCTTATTATTGTAGAACAGGCCAATATCAACGAGGTGAGGTATGCATGTAGTGTACATAATATGTACCAGTGTATTAATGAATTATGAATGTATGACTCCAATCTTGCCCTTCATTACAATTGCTACACTGTTTCTTTCAAAACATTGCATTAAAAGGGTGCTTGACATGGCTATCACTGTTTCAATTTTACAGAGAAAACTTTCTTACGTCACAAAGTGTAGATCTTAAGCAACCATCACATTTTCACTTTGTTCCATCATTGAAACTTTCCCAAGGGGAAGTGCATGACCTTTCAAGAGAGGTGGAAAAATTCTCTGGGGAGGTGCGCACCTCCCCACACTTCCCTCAAAATCCGGCTTGATGCAAATAAATCACCACAGCTAGAAAGAGCATACTAAAATAAGTAAATTATTGCAAAGTTTGGTTGCGAATTGTTGCAAAATACGGAAAATATAGCCTTGCAAAGTTTGCAAATTTTGTACACTTTTGTATTGAATGCGAAAATTGCAATTATACAAAAGAATACAAAATTTGCAAACTTTGAAAGGCTATATTTTCTACATATTTTACAACATTTTGCAACCAAACTTTGGAATTTTACTAATTTTAGTATGCCCTTCCCGGGAATATACTTTTTTTGCTAAGATAAAAAATTAGTCTATAATGGGAATGTCTATTGGTCCCCATTACCTATTTTTCTTTCTCTAAAATAAACAGCTAGAGTTTTTGTTTCTCTAAATAAAGATAAAGAGCTAGAGGGGGGGGGGCAAAACTTATGTTCTTGTTTTGCTTGTTGGGGGGGGGGCTTTGAAAATTTTACTTGTCTTAAGAGGGGGGCAACGAAAAAATATTATAACTGTAGGTAGAGTTTCTCCTCAGTCCCCCCCCCTGTACAATAAATAATGAGCGGTCCCTTAGATTCTGTAAACAAGCTTTCGTTCATGATAGGGATGCAACTACCTGAAAAATATAAGGAGAATTTCGACGTTTCGAGCGAAGGCGCTACGTCGGGAGTTTGGTTAGTAACTCCAGACCAAGGACCTTCGCTGGAAACGTCGAAATTCTGCTTATATTTTTCAGGTAGTTGCATCCCTACCAACGAAAGCTTGTTCATATTATTGCCACTACCTACACTGACACAGACACTTCAAGATTAGATTCTGTGGTTTTCTGATGGATGTGAATGAGTAGATGAGTTATGAATGTTCTGAGTATATGTACCCTCATCTCAACATTCATATCCACTCGTTCACATCCATCAGAAGAAGAAAATCGCACTTAAAATCGCAGCAAAAATTTGCGAATCTAAAAGGGGCCTTTAGGAATCGAAATTCACCAAAGGTGTAGAATTTCTGAAATGGCAATAGTTTAGTTTTACCGCGCGATATTCAAAAGTTTAATAGTTTTTGCGCGCGAAATTCACAAGGTTAAAACGCATTTTGAGTTGATGGTTGAGAACATTGTTATGTGTTTTATTAATGGTCCAAATATCAGAAAATTTGCTGAATTTTAAGTCCTTCAAATAGCTGCTGAAACTTTCATTTGTTGGCACCAATGCCTTTCACGCATGCATAATTCATGCATTTACCTAATTTGCATTTTGTGATTGTAAAAACATTATAGACCATTAATAAAACACATAACACATTTTTCGCCCATGAGCTCAAAATGCGTTTCAACCTTTTAAATTTAGCGCGCAAGCTATTTTTAATGCTGCTAAAAGAGACACCCCCTGCTCTGGAAAATTTGTCTTTACGAAATTGCTTTGTTTATTCTACATTATACCCAAACAATCTATATTTATCAAAAATTTCATGACCCGAACAGATTTGTGAAATTGAGAGCCATTTCAAAATTGTCTACTTTTTTCTGAGACACCCTGTAGATAGAAAGATAGATGGTTTATTTCATAAAAATATTGCAGCCAATAGGCTGAATTACGCTTATATTTACAAGTTAAGAAAATATTAAAATACTATGCACTAACTATCTCTAAAAGGAACCAAGAATATATAATATTATATACACTAACTAAGAATATTAATGTAAGAATATTAACCCTAACTCTAGGAATATTAATCTAAGAATATATAATATTATACACTAACTAAGAATATTAATCTAACAATATTAAAATACTATACACTAACTGTCTCTAAAAGGATCTAAGAATATTTACATATTAGTGGTAGTAGTTAATTAATTTTATAATTAGGTGCAATTGCTGTTAATCATATAGAAGTCATAAAGTTATATTAAGTAAAACTAAATGATTTTTTTCAAATTAAATGGAATTTCTATAAATATTAAGTGCACAAAATTAATAACATTTTGGCTATGCCAAATATAACGGCCAAATGAAAGCTCATGTGTTTATACAGACAGATAAATAACACGGTAATTTAGGATAATGATTGCAACCTCGTGGGGAGCAAAGACCCTGGTAGATGCTGGGTACGTGATCTGCTAAAATCTAGCAGATTTTTAATTAGCAATCCAAGATCAGGTCAATAAATATTTGATATTTGGATTATTTTGATCGTTTAATTAATAATTTGCATTTTGTATGCTTGTCGTAAAGGAATCCAACATAGTTAATTATTACGAAAGTCACCGAACTGTGGAATCGCATCAAAAATTCGTATATCGACCACTCCCACAAACGTCTACGACCGCGCCTCCATATTTTTGCATGTTTACAATTCTAATTTTAAACAGCCAATCGACGTTTAATTGTAATTGTTACCAAGAACCTGATTGGCTGTTCAAAATTAGAATTGTAAACATGCAAAACGATGTAGGTGCGGTCTTAGACGTTTGTGGGAGTGGCCGATGAACGAATTTTTTATGCGATTCCACAGTTCGGTGACTTTCGTAACAGAAATCTGCTAGATTTTAGCAGATCACGTGACCAGCGTCCACCAGGGTCTTTGCTCCCCAAGAGGAAAGACTCTGGGTACGAGGTAGTATTGATTGTCGTGTTTTAGTTAGTTAATTTTGTAATTTTTTTGTGTGTGATATATTCCTTTTGCTAAATGGTAATATTGATTTCCATTCAGTAATGGTATTGGGATCACCGTCGTTTGTGCATTTTAATACCGCATCCATGACAAACAGACAACTTCTCCCATTTTTCAATCTCGACAACAACATCATCCCTGTGCATGGTATCTTTAAGAATCTTCTTAAGAGCCCCCACATTATTATTTTCTTGATCTGATGATCCCCACTTACCGAGTATTACTTCGGCAGTCCCCGATCCTCCCTTTACTTCGTATGCTATTTTAATACCTGCAGCCGTTGTTTGGTCGAAGCTACCTAAAGCGTTCACAAGTGGTTCCTTGCTACAATAAGCTAAGTCGAGTAGTTTGCAAATTTCGTGAAAACAACCAATTTCGATTTTAGCAATGGGCCATTTCTCCCGGTCACTTGAGAGCTGTGTTTCGTCTTTTGAAGTACAAGAACTACACATAGGGCTTTCTTTCCATGACATTCGTCGGCGATTTGTGCGTGATGATCTTCCTCGTTTCTTCTTTCTTTTCTTTGGTGGTTTTTGTGAATCAATGGTGTCTATAATAAAAGACAAGATAGACTTTCTTCAGGATTTTTTTATTTCAAAAGGTTGGTGAACAAACCATGAAACATTGTTTCCATGCACGTCATGTTTCCCGGGGCCATTCCATTTAATATAGGCAACCCCCCCCCCTATTGAGGGGTCTGGATGGGTACCCTATGGAGGGGTTTTTTACCTTAAATTTTCCTAGAGGGTAGCTTAAGAAATTTTCCAAAAAATAGAAAAAATTAGGTGTTTTAGTGATATCCACGGGGGTAAAAACGATATCCTAAAGGGGGTATAAAGATATCCATGGGGCAACTTCTAAAAATCGCATCCAAGGGGGTTCTAAAATTTTTATACTCTAAGGGGATTATGAAGGGACCCCTCAATGGGGGGGGGGTGGTGCCTATATTAAATTGAATGGCCCCCGAAGGTGGACAAACCAGGAAACATAGTTTCTTAGGCATGTTTCCCGAAGATGGACAAACCAGGAAACATTGTTTTCTAGCCATGTTTCTCGAAGGTGGGTAAACCAGGAAGCATTGTTTCCTAGCCATGTTTCCCGAAGCTGAGCAAATCAGGAAACAATGTCTGCTACAGCCTTCTTCTCGAAAGTGGACAAACAAACAGTTGTTTCCGTTAAACAAATCACATGGAGAAACAAAATGTGTTTCTGAATTTATTGGGAAATATGTTTGCTTCGTGAGAACTGTTTCCAAAGCTAGACAAACAGCGAAACATTCAAGAAAACTTCAAGATTTTCAAATTTGCCCTTAGGCCATTGCCTCTTAATAAACACACCTACATGGTGGCACGTGTAGTTGACCAACTATTGCAAGAGCCGGAATAACCAGAGGCGAAACAAATGACAACTTAAGTTTGTAATACCCATTGCAAAAACTTTAACATTCCATACTTTCTATCAGGGGTGGAAAAAGTATCGGAACCTGGGAACCTAGTTCCCAGAAATTTTTTTGAGTTGAGAGCTTTGCAGAAAATTTTCCAGAAAATATTTCAACATTTTGAGATAACCCTGATTACTCAACTTACAAGTTACAACTATTCTACTTTATTTACACTGTACACGCTAACATCAGCAGCTTTTAAATATTTGACAGAAATTAATTCTTTTACCCACCCCTGTCATCACAATGACTGGTAAAATGGTAAATATATGCTCTGCAAAGTCTCCAATAAAATGCAAATTAAATAGTAAACAAATAAAAGTGATGGAATAAATAAGATGATAGGACACTTAGTTAAGCGTTAGATCCTTACTATGATGTTTGTGATGTTATTCTGAGTGTGTATCCACACCGGGCAAGCTTGAAAAATATGCCTGGCCACGGTGGGAATCGAACCTACGACCTTTGGAATACTAGCCCAATGCTCTGCCAGCTGAGCTACGCGATCAGGTCGGTTCGAATATGTGATATTTCGGAACTGAGTTTAGTTCCTTTGACATCAATGTAATCTAGTATTCCAAAGGTCATATAAGTTTGATTCCCACCATGGCCAGGCATATTTTTCAAGTTTGCCTGGTGTGGATATACACTCAGAGTAACATCACAAACATCATATTCACCTTATTACATAACACCAACACAGAAAAAATCAAGATTCTTACTAGTTGGTCATAACTTATAACTGTGGTATATAACAAACAACTATTGTGATGTACAAGCGTACGAAAACCAGCCTAAAGCCCATATTACTAAAGTACAAATAATACAATAATTATGCATTTGTTTTGTTATTTTTGTAATTGTAACATTACAAATTTTACAGAAAATTTCTAACCTTTGACCCAGGTTCCCAGAAAGAAAAAAAATTTTTCCACCCCTGCTTTCTATTCACAGGCATCCAAAGCTCACATGTGGTTGGGGGTATATTTATATTTTTATATTAGCTTATACTATGACAGAATATATATTGTCAAAAAATGCTAAAATATTGTATTAAATTGAGAAATAATGTTGCTTACCACTACTATAATGTGTAATTGACTTTTCTGGGGTGATTTTCAATCCGCTTGAGATACGTACATAAATGATACGTCATAAGTATCTCATGCATGTATGTTGGCGTCAACTGTATGTTTGTGTAACTATGCAATTGTTCTCCTTGTTCGAACTTGTAGTTTCAGAGGTTACTGAATGAAACCTTTCAAAAATCTGTATGTACTTCATTTTAATACTAAGTACACCTGGAGTCTTAAGGTGATTCATCAGTTTTGCATTGCGCACTTTTACTGCGCATATCTAATAACAAATTCTAGCTAAGATATGTAGTCAAACTACAATGCAAAGTGATAAATAAAGAGGAAGGGCAAAGAGAAAAACACTCTGCATTGATTAGGCGTGCTTTAGGAAATATTCCTTCAAAAATAACAGAACTCTGGCTATGGCTCCTGTTCAACTAGCATTCTGAACCACATCATGTTGCATGTTTAACCCTTGCATCTCTTTAAGAAGGTCCGTGGCCCCACTTTCTCATTTTACATTTTTGTTCTTCTATACGTTTGTTAAGGAGCACTCTCATACATAAAATTTTAGTTTAAAAATAAAATAACATAATATGTTTGCTTGAGAGCAGGTAAAATGTTCGTGCAAGCAAATATCATTCTAAGCATAATGAGAGGAGATAATGGATATTTTGCCACAAATCAAAGGAAAGTAAATATATTTCGGTTCTTCGGAAAACATTTGTTATTTCTTCCATTGGGCTATGACAGTTTGTTAGACTAGCTGCCGTTGTGTATGTGAAGAAGTCATGTTGTGATTGACCTGTTCCCTAAAGTTTATCTTGTGGGCAGATTTGTTTAAAAAGAGCAGCTGCCTGAGGTCTCATGAACATTGACCTTTCACGTGGTCTCATGAACATTGACCTTTCAAATGAGTCATCCCAAGCAAGATAACACTCGGTCATTCAATTAAAATATTACGTCATCAAAAGCGTACTTCGATAAGTTCCCTTTAATAAATAAGTAAATTCGTAAAATAAGGTTTATATGCTTATAGTTTGAACATTTTCCTATAAGATAAGTCTAAGTTAGTTCAGTTATGAACATTCTTAAATTTGATAAACCGAGCATATAATGGCTATAATCGACAACGCCTTGAATAAACAAAGATAGAGTGATGGTACGAGAGTTCGAAAGTACACCACCTCGGTGCTGATTGCATGGTTGGACTTGAATCACCCCACTTTTGTAGTCACATGAGCAAGGTTCCAGTATACAAGGAGGTGGCTAGCTCAACTAGCTGCATGGGTATGCAGAACTAGCAGTGCATGCAAAGTCAAGCAGAACTCAGAATAAAAGCAGAAGAACGAAACTCAGAATGAAGAAGAATGAATGAACAATTAGAACCGTAATAAAAGATAAACCTGTAACGATTCACTACCTAAATAAAGCCTCGTAACACGTTTTACATGTCATATCGGAAAACAACCTCGTACCCAGGACTAGTCGCGAATTGAAGGCGGCGACATAGCCCTGGTAAACGCTGGTCACGTGTCAGGCAAATACTCCAAGATTCTTGGAGTATTAGCCTGCGAGCGGGCTTTGTGGAAATAAAGACAGGGGGCGACGAAAAGTTCACGAATGGATCTTGAATTGCCGCGGATTATTTATATTTTTTTATTTTTTGTTGTAATCTTTCTTCTTAATATGTTACGTCGAATGTACATCAATCTTCTTTTATATCGTATCATGTAAATCGCCGAGGAGGCGATGTTTCGAATTTCGAAGCAGTGAAAATGGAGCCAATCTCGTACATACTATTTGTGATGATTTCCATCAAGTATAAAAAGGTACAGTATATATGAATTTGAAAATGTTTAGAAGTATTTCATTGTTACAAATTATTTAGCAGATTCCCATTATTTGTTTATACACTGTCTAGCTCTATGAAATATATATTTCGAAGGCTATTTACTGTAATATATTTTATACAGTATGTTAATATAGTTAGCTGAATTTGTACAATTGTAGTTAAATATTGTGAATATTGAGAAACACGTGGCCAGACTTTAGAAACGTATTTACACTTTAATACAATATTATTAAACTACATTTTACAGCAGTATTAACTTCAAATACTTTGTATTTACATTTACAGTAATGACCTGAAATTATTTAAATGAGCCATTACTGTAATAACAGAGTGGCCAGGTTGACAAAGCTAAAATCTGATGAACCTAACCTGCAAGGATATTTCAATAGTCAAACATCAGCCAGTACTCCAGCTGGTCACGGATTTTTTAGGGAAAAGTTTTAGCACCACATTGTAAAACCTGCCCCCGAATCTCAAAATTTCATTATTTTGTTCCCTTGCCCCTACAATCTATATTTATACCTTTTGTGCCCTTGAGATCTTTAAAAAAATTGCCTAACTCTGCAGTATGGCATGTAACCTTGTTGCCATATTTATTTTCTAACTTCAGGCTTCAATAAATTTCTACTCTAATACCTGACAGAGATGGGGGCCATATGTATGAACAATAAGAAATGATTTCTTCATCTATTATTGACCCCTTACCTTTCACCCAATTTTAAAATTAAATTTACTGAATGATTTTGAAGTTTTCTAGATTATTGAAAAGAACTTTATGGGTACAAGAAATGGGGCAAAAACAGTTGAATTAAGCAAGATGCAAGTAACAATGAACAAGACTGGGTCACTGGATGGTATTTCAGCACACTGATGGACATGCAACCTAATACCTGCAACCTGTGTCACATTTATATATATAGTTTTACACTGTACTGGAAAAATAATGTCAAGGAATTTGTAGAGATTCAGAATGCACACTTCATGGTTTATTCAATCACCAGCATGCATGAATCATTTTATATAATGAATATTTTTTAAAAATTATTCTCACTTTATAGATAAAATTATATAAATTTTTAATATCATAAATGAATATATAGTGGCTTTTGATTATACAATTTATAATAATATATCAGCAAATAATGACTGGTCTCTCTGAAATCCATATAGAAAGGTTCAAATTCGACTTCCACTACCACTACTTGATCTGGCAGTTGCATCCGATTGTGTGATTGGATAAATGAAACTTATCTGGTTAATAGTTAATGATAGCAATAGCAGTAGTGGAAGTCAAATCTGATCTCTCTATTATTTTTTGAAGGTTTGCTCTAGTCACGTCAATTCAGGGTTGCCCATGCAACTTGGTTAGCACAGCTAGCTCTTCATGTTGGAGGTCCAATTCTTAGGATTCTGCAAATTAATTCTAGAAACCTGGCTTTGGTTTGGGCTAAACAAAAATCATCACACTGTTTATCATGCTGATTTGGTTGTTTAACAGTTAAAGTCCAGGCTGCATGTTTTTTTGTCCTGCATATGGCAGATGGGACAGTCTGGTTTCCAAGTGTTTATGTGGGGAATTAATATTAATCAGGACTGGCTTCTGAGTGAAGGTCTTGCCTGCTTTATGTGAGAGCAGGCTCTATGCGAGATTCCAATTGCTACACAGCATGATCTCAGGGCTCTTCCTCTGAAACAATGTTTGGTTGCAATATCATCCAGCAAGTGCAAAAATGTACTACCACGGTCAAGGATCATTTGGCATGTTCATCGACTATGTTAACCCATTGAGTGGCGCCATGCACCCTCCACCTGACGAGTAAAATTGTCTGGCGTTAGACAGAGTAAACTAACAAAGTAGGGTGCATCTGGGTGCATTGGGCCATTCCATTAATGTATACACCCCCTATGGACGAGTTCAATAAAATTTGAACCCCTAAGACAAAAGATCAAAGTGCCCCCCCCCCCCAGAAATTAAGAAATTTTTGCCTTATCCCTCAGAAAAAATGCAAAGATCAAAGGATGCCGATGCACACAACCCCTCAGAAACGGCTTTTTCAACCCCCTCAGAAATTCTAGTCCATAGATACCACAGCACAACACTTGTACATATACATATACAAGTAATACAACAGCAATCCTTTTATATATTTAATAGTCATATTTACATATTGGTGAAATATCAATGTCCATATATTAGGGATGTCCATTGTCCATGAACTTGTCCCTAGTTTGAAGCTAATGTATTCATATCTTTTGTATAAGTTGTCCCTCTACAAACCAACTTTTAGTCATTATACAAGAGTTGAATTTGCATAAGGCCGATGGAATTAAGGTATCAGTTTACCGTCACCTAAAATTTCAAAAGTTAATGCAAGGTTGAACTGTTAACTGACAAATAACGATTTTTTTAACTGTTTACTGACAAGTAAAACTTTACTGTTAACTGACAATTGAAGTTTGATTGGACTTTTTTCCATACTTCGGTGGTATCAGTTTACCGTCACCTAAAATTTCAAAAGTTGATGCAAGGTTGAACTGTTAACTGACAAATAACGATTTTTTTAACTGTTTACTGACAAGTAAAACTTTACTGTTAACTGACAATTGAAGTTTGATTGAACTTTTTTCCATACTTCGGTGACTCTTTGATCAGGAGCAAATTAGAAATCTGAATAAAAGATCGAATTAATCGCCATAAAACACATAAAATTCGTGAAAGTCAGAAAAACGACTAATTACCCAAACAGAATTTGGCAAGTTAATTATTAACTGTGTTTAACTGACACGCCAAAATATTAACTGATAGCTGACAAACAAGCTAAATTTTAACTGACAACTGACATGCACAACCCCCCATTCAAACCCTCATATAAATTAGGCACAAATGATCTAAAAAATGACAGTGGATATGCCATTCCAACCCTATATGCACTTTAACGCTACACTGATTGTAAGTTATGACTTAATTTTGACTCTATTTGATAATATAAGAATCTATTTTGAAATTCTAACCTGAACAGGTTCTTATTTACTCTATTTTGCACTTTTCGCGCATAATAACATGTCTGAAAAGATGGGAAAAGACATGTTTGCACCACGACAATGCACGTCAATGGTTGTTGACTCGCTAAAATACTACAGTATGTTTTCTTGTACCGGGCGAGGCAAAAAAAAAGTACGACTGTTTGAAATGCTGCTAAAGCAAAACTAAAAAAGCAATAACACTAAAACAAGTTTAGTGGCATTCAGCGATATCCAACTTACATTTTGATATATGCCATGCACATTTCTATGCCATATTGACGAAGATACATGCATTTAAACAGGAGTAAATCATTTTTGGAACTGACGAAATTGGCTAAAAATGGCTTATTAAATATTAATATATACTCAAATTGTGTCGTTGCTGATCATGTGGCACATTCCACATTTTATGTTTCAAATAGCCCCCCACCACCCCCCCCCCCACAAAAAAAAATCGCGTATACTGTTGGATCAGGAGAGCGATGTGGCCAAAGCCAGTCGTCACCATTACTCATAACTCCGCCAGGGAATTGTTTCCGAAGGTATTGCATTGTTGGTTTGGGAAGGAGCTTCATCTTGCTGCTACCACATGTCATCCCTATCGATATTAACACGAAAGTCTCTCTGTACAACGTTGTAACGTATGATTCGGAGGTACTCTCTCGTGTCGAGATTTCTTTCAACAAAGTGTGGGCCAAGAACAACTGACCTCGTCAAACCAACCCACTAATTGAAACAATAATCGCAAGAAAATGGTAACGGTTATTCAATTGGTTTTAATAGGGCCTTTTCATATAATTCTCGGCGGTTCCAAAAATGTTTGCTTAAGATTAAACACAGTTATTTCAGTCAATATTGCATGAAAAGGTACAAGACATATATCAAAATTTAAGTTAAACATCGTGGAATATATGGTGACTTATCCAAGTGTAATAGCTCTTTTACTTTGTAAGTTATAGTAAATCAAACAGTCGTACTTTTTTTCCCACTCGGAAAATAATCACTAGATAAGCATTTTTAATAGGATCCTTGTTAAAAAATTCAGTAACTGTTGCGCAATTGCGAATGTTCCTGTAACTCGTACCTGGAAGCGTCAAGACGGCGCTATACTTCCTGGAAGCGTCAAGACGGCGCCATACTGGGGAAAGGTGGCATATTGCACTTGTCATATCTTCAAAACGAGTTCGGTGACCCTAACTTTTTTTCTGTTTTTATTATGAGCATATCATAAACGGTCTGCAAATTCTCATTTCCAGAACAATTACTGATGAATCACCTTAAGTCATTAACACAGAGTAGATACAAATACAAAGTTATAACTAGTGTACCCACTTTTTTTGTGCGCGTGCTCGGCAAGTTACTAGATGCATGCATCTGATTGGATGACGACCTGATGACGACTCACTTTAACGGCTCGCGGAACTTGCTGAGCACGCGCAGTTGATCATTTTTTGCCCGGTCGCCTGAAAAAAAGTGTGTACATGAAAATGTAAGCTTGCGCAGTGTTTACGACGGTCAGTTACAGCTCTGTATATGTATTTACTCAGTGTCATTAACATTTGGCAAAACCTGAAATCCTCCCGATTAATCGCTGTGTGTAAACGTAGCTTTAGAGCAGCAGTCAGGTACGAATTATCGCACCCTGGATGAAAAGTCAAAAATAACAAAGAGAATAAGAACAACGATATGGTGAACGACAACACTAAAAATCACAATAAGGATGAGAACGAGGATGAAAATAAGACATTGTACACACATATACAAACGCAAATAAAAATACAACTTCCTGGCGGAGGTCATAATAGTGATTAGATAGTGGTTATTATATTAACTGATTCATACCGTTCATAAATCGTTTGAGATAGGACTTTCCTGTCGCTTGAGAACCTGTGAATAATTTAAAACTACATATTACAACCAAAACATGCATGCTTAAAAAAACCTATATACATGGGGAAAAAATTATCTACAACGCTTATAACTAAAAATTTCTATCGACTGCAATGGAGACAGGCAAACTGATCGGTTCCATCGATACCTCTAGCTTTCAAGAGCCATAGAAATAACGCAACAACTTAAAATTAAAGTCCCGTACAAAAGAACATTTGTTACTTTGTTTTCCACGTTCAAGACTAAAGCTTAGGCACTACCAGCTTTTATGAATTATAATGGCATGGTTCAACTATCTTGGAATTTACTTAATGACGAAAACAAGTTATTGACGTTATGACGTTATATACGGCGAGGGGAGTCCAAATCCGCTAGCGAATAAAGACTCCCATAAGTCCATATTCACTAACGGACATGGACTCCACGGTCCATATTCGTTAGCGGATTTGGGCTGGGGGGGGGCGGGGAGTCCATTTTGAGATGAGATGCTAATTTTATAAAAATTTAGGGTTGAATGGAATGCATCACTTTGTTATGGGTATGTTAAAGCAAAAATAATTTGAAATATATTTTCATTTTCCGTTTTTATTTGAGCAATTAAGCATCAGAGATTTATGACAATTTAAAATGCTTTGATACAATATTCAAAATACAATACGATGCAATGATAAAATACGGCGAGGGGAGTCCAAATCCGCTAGCGAATAAAGACTACCACAAGCCCATATTCACTACCGGACATGGACTCCCCGGTCCATGTTCGTTAGCGGATTTGGACTGGGAGGGGGGCCGGGGGGGGGCATTTTGAGAGGGGTCCAAATCTGCTGGGACACTGGGAATACCATCTGGTCCAAGTGCTTTGTCTGGGCCTAAAGCTCGTAATGCGAAGAAAACTTCTATCTCAGATAGGGTTAATTCAAGTTCTTCGAAGTTAGGTTCGTTGTTCTCATTTGTGCCTTCGCGAAAAAGGCAACTCAAGAAGAAATGAGCCTGCTATTTCGGTCAGCGTCGACAAATTACCCAACTGTTCCACCGAGCTATACTATTATCGGAGGAAGTGCTCGGCATAAAAAGTGACCGCAAAACCATGGCGGATTTTCGCGCCATATGACGCCATTTCCAAGACAACTGGTTCCTCCAGCTCATGGAATTACCACTGACCAGGCTCAATTCTGAACCCGCTACAATTTTCAACCCCCTGGTTTTAGCAAAAATATATTTTTTTGCTTTTTGACGTTTTTGCAATAAATTGTCGCTGTTTTTAATATTTTTTCGACTTTTGACCATTTGTACAAAGATTGAAAAGTCATGCACGTAATTCTCACCCGCGAAAGACAACAAACCAATAGGAAAACCCCGAGGTATTTAGTTAAAGGCAATATTATAATAAATAATATTATAGCTCAGTGGTTCGCCGTCTTATTTCCGTTCATCCCGTATTTATATTAGTCGCACTTAGCACAAGACGTTTAATTCGTCCACGATGAGGATGAGACAGACACACAAACATGCAAACCCTAGTCTATCAGATATGATGTCTGGAAACTGAACAGAAGTCATTGTATTATGTTTTTGTCGGAGTTTATGTTAATTTGTGCACGGTCACGGTGATTGAGTTCATTGTATTTTCGTATAATGAAGTAATCGTCCAATAGGGATAGCTGAGATGAAACGTGTAACCACGATGAATAATATTTAATGAAGTTGAGACACAGGATTTGTGCACGGCGAGGCACAGTTCAACATCACCCAAAGGTCTTCGATTTTGTGGCTATGAAGTTTGCCGGCCTACCAGCTAAACCATCAAATTTTTGACAGACTATGTATAAACGCAGATGAAAACATAACTTCCTGGCGGAGGTAATAATAGTAATGATTATTATTTTAACTGTCAATATACCGGGCACAGATCCGTTGGGATAGGAGTCTCCTGTCGATTGAAAACCTGTAAATAATTTAAAATTCCATATTACAACAAAAAACATGCCTACAAAACTTAGATACATAAGGAAAAATTATCTTCAATGCTTAATATGACTAAAAATTCCTATGGACTGCAATCAAGAACAGGCCAACTCATCGGTTCCCTCGATGCCTCTTTAAAGAGCCATAGAAATAACGCAACAGCTTAAAATCCCGTACAAAAGAACATTTCTTTTCCACGTTCAAAACTAAGCTTACGTACTACCAGCTTTTATGAATTACATTCAATAAAAATGCTGCAAAAAAATCTGATAAAAACACACTCGGTACTTACAAAGTGTGCACAGAAATATATGGTCTTCTAAAATCGGAAACGTAAATTGACCATTTGCGTAATAGACTAAATCTTGATCTCAACGAAAATTTCATTACAGCTTGAAAGAGCATCACAAAATTAGTAATATTCCAAAGTTTTGTTGCAAAATGTTGAAAAATGCGGAAAATATAGCCTTGCGAAATTTGCAATTTTCAGTCATTTTAGATTACAAACCGGAAATTGACAGCCGCGAAGGGTTTGGGGCTGTCAATTTCCCGTTTGTAATCTAAAATGACTGAAAATTGCAAATTTTGCAAGGCTATATTTTCCGCATTTTTCAACATTTCGCAAACGAAACTTTGGAATGTTACTAATTTTGTGATGCTCTTTCAAGCTGTGATGAAATTTTTGTCTAGACTTGTTTAGTTCAAAATTTGGTCTGTTACGCAAATGGTCAATTGGAAACTAATGTATAATAAAGTCTAACTGTATCCAAACAATTACCTGAGCTTGACGCTTCACTTGAGGTTTCATTTGGCCTTCCAAACTTCGAGCTGTCTTCTACCCTAGCTGCATCGGGTGCTTGAAACAATTAAACATATAGGAGATATAAGGCTGAGTGAATTACTATATATATATGCATTCTATTTCGAGTAGTGCAAATAATACTTTATGAATAAGCGTAGCAAATAAGGAAAATATTGCTTTCACCACGAGAATATAAAACATACCTAATTTTAGTGTGCTTGCAGTGATAACCACTTTGTGCAGTGATAAAAGCAAAATGTGCAGTGATATTGCTGTGATAAGTTGTTAATTGACAAGAAATGAGGCAATGAGCAGAAAAATACTTGAAAGACACGTGAAAGTTCGCATTAAGATCTCTTCATGTACTTGGAAAATGGAGTGAATGATACTTAACATTTTGTAATTAGTGTATAATTTTCAGAATTCTATAGATTGTCCCCGCATATTGAAGGAAATGCCCTTTGAAAAAGCCTAGATTGCAAAATGTTCTGGGTGCATGCCTCGCCTAAGGCTAAGCCGCCTCTCATTTGTCAAAACGAAAATATTTCTTTTCACGGAAACGTAAATTGCAAACTAATGTATAGTCAAAATCTAACCGTAACCAAACAATTACCTGAGCTTGAAGCTTCACTTGAGGTTTCATTTGTCCTTCCAAACTTCGAGCTGTCTATTGCCATCGTAGCTGCATCGGACACTTGAAAAAACGGATGAAACAATTATACATAGGGAATATAAGGTTGCGTGAATTAAGATATGCATTCTATTTCGAGTAGTGCAAAAAATACTTTATAAATAAGGGTATAGAGAATGAGTAAAATATTGCTTTCACCACGAGAATGCCCTTTTAGAGAGCCTAGATTACAACGTTATCTGTGGGTGCATGCCCCTGGAACTCCTCTAAAGGTTTGTCACGCCTAAGCCGCCTCTCATTTACCAAGACGAAAATATTTCTTTAGTGCAAGCGTGTGATTATGAAACTATGCTGTCATAGATAGTCGTAACTGCAGGTGCAGTCAAGGCCGCCCAGAGGGGTGGAGGGGGCAATTTTCCCTGGAGCACAAGTTAAAGGGGGGAGGGGGGGGGAATAAAAAAGTACAGAAAAATATAAATATAGATAACTGTCAACAGATGTTGTGAGAATATTATGAACGTTTTATAATATTAAGAACTCATTAAGAACTCATTAAGAACTCATTCAGTTGGAACTTACTAAGTTATGTAGCTGATTATGTAGCGTATTATTAGTTAGATTATCTAGTATATTGTTATGTTAATAAAGTAAATAAAACGCTATTTTAGACTTAGATTAATAATACTGTGTATGTAGTCGGTATAGTACGTGTCAAAAAATACAATTTAGTGAAACCGATATTTGAGTTTATAACATTGGCGACGAGGAATAAACAAAGTTAGTATGCCTCCTAAATTGAGAAAGGCGTTAAAAATCGAAGAATTCGAGCCAGACGAAGACATATTAGAAACCACATGCAAATGGAAATTGTGGAGACGAAGACTCGAGATTCAAATGAAATATTTCGACATCGTAAAGCCAGACGATATGAAAGCAGCGTTGTTAGTTCATGGTGGCGACAAAATCCTTTCGATAGACGAGAACGGAGCTGAACCAGAAGACGACTTGGACGAATACAAGAAGCTTATAGCGAAAATTGAGCATGTATACGTGGCGAAAAACACGAGATTGCACGCGAGGTTTAGGCAGCGTTTGCACTGTACCGTTTTCGTAGCGTTCTCGTATTGTTCGAGAGAACTAGACTATTGTCTCGCGTTCCCTTGAGGATTAAGAACAATACGAGAACGCTACGAAAACGGTACAGTGTAAACGCTGCCTTAGATTTAACAAAGCCGTTCGACAATCGAATCAATCCATTGCTCAATACGAACTCGAACTTCGACGACTCGCTAAAGAGTGTGACTTTCACGGATACGACGAAGAAATGATTTTAGACCGTTTGATATTAACGTGCAAAGACGAAAGCCTTCAAGCGAAAGCGTTGGAAGACAACTGGACACTCGAAGACTTCTTAAAGTATGTGACTACAAAGCAAGACGTCGAAGCACAAAGAAACGAAATGAAAATGGAAATTAAGAAAGAATCACTCGAAATACGAAGAGTAGCTGATAAAAGATTCTCGAGAGAAAAATCGCAAAAGCTGTACTCGTTTAGAAATCGCGAAAACCCGAGAAAATTCGTCAGCGACGTGAAAGATAACAAAACATGCACGAAGTGTGGTCGTGACAAATCACATTCTACATGCCCAGCTGCTGAAAAAGAATGTTTCAATTGTCGAAAGATTGGTCATTTCCGTGCACAGTGTTTCTCAAGAAAACCCGACAGCAGATCGAAGCAAGTAAAAGCTGCTGGCTTGCATGGTGGTTCTGTGATGAATGATTTCCAACAAGATTCTGTCGACTCTTCTGATTCCGATCCTGAGTCTTACAAATGTGTGAGCGAGAAATCGGGCATACGGGCAGTAAAAGGACAAAATACTAGCAACATTTTGTTACCTGTTTACATCTGTGGAACCAAGATTATCGTTGATCCAGATACCGGCGCTGATGTCGACCTAATCTCAGTTAAAGATTTCAAGAAAATTCATGAAGCAAATCTTGAGATCAAGAAACAAATAAAGAAACCAAAACAGAAGATCTACGCCCTGAATGGTGAAGAGCTGGAAGTCATAGCTACAATTAAAGATGCAAAGTTGTCAAACAAGAACGCAGAAACACTCACTGATCTCTACGTTATTGAGGACGGTATTCATGAATTCCCATTATTATCAGAAAGAACACTGATGAATCTTGGTATGATTAAATACAGCGCTGATGGAAAGTTTGTGAGGAGAGTTGACGCGAGAAAGTGCGATGACAAAGAAGGAAAGTGTAAACCTGATGATAAAGTACCACAGGAAGAGCTCAGAAAGATCCTGCAGAAACATAAGATGTTCCAAGGTATAGGGACATTAAAGAATCCTGAAACAGGAGAGCCAATCCTCACTTATATCGAGATGAATGCCGATGCAAAACCAGTCATACAACCTCCAAGACCTGTCCCACACCATCTCGAAGAAAGAACCAAGAAGAAATTGGATTATTTTGTTCAAGAAGGGATAATGACTTGGACTAAACCAAGAGAACCGATTTCATATGCCAGTCCACTTGTCATCACACCAAAAGGAGACGATGATGTTCGCATCACTGCAGACTTCCGAGTGGCAAACAAAGGAGCATCGAGAACCCGCATCGTACCTGGTCTAGGAGTAGACGAATTGTCGGCAACGTTTGGAGACTGCAAAGTGTTTTCAAATCTTGATATGAACAATGGCTATCACCAAATGAAAGTTGACAAGGATTTCAAGAAATACCTAGTAGTGACCACGCCCTGGGGAAATTTGAAGCACGAAACGGTTGCACAGGGATGGATAACCAGCCAAGATGAATTCGACAGACGAATAAATGAGATTCTAGCGGGAATTCCTCACGTAAAGAGTAATCGAGACGACTTGTCTAATTGGTGGGAAAGATCGAAACGAGCACAACAGAACACTTGACCTAGTCCTAACACGTCTGCAAAACCATGGATTAACACTAAGATTGGAGAAATGTGAATTTGGAAAGGAGGAAGTCGAGTTCTATGGTGTCAGATTTACGGGAGAAGGAATCAAACCATCGAAGGCGAAAGTGAAAGCGTTGCAAGAATGTGGAGAACCCAGTTCAAAAGAAGGAGTAAGAAGCTTTCTGCAGATGGTGGGATATATGTCTCGATTTATCACCAGCTTTGCCCAGATTGCCGCACCGCTGCGACAGCTAACGAAGTCAACCTCAACCTTCCATTGGGGACCTATAGAACAGGAAGCTTTCGATAGCTTGAAGAGCAGTTTGACGGAGCAAACAACCCTTTCCTACTTTGTTCCCGAAAGACCGATAAGAATCTACGTAGATGCTGGAAAGAAAACAGAGAAATCGAGCAACGTTCCTGGAGGACTATGCACTATTTTATGCCAGAAAGGTGACGACGGACAGTAGAAAATGTGTCACGTAGCCAACCGAGCCTAACTGACGTTGAGACAAGATACGGACAGGCTGAGTTAGAAGCAGCTGCCATCAAGTTTGCTTGTGCTGACGCCCTTTATAAGTACTTGGTTGGAGCGCCAAAGTTTGAAATCTTCACGGATTGCAAGCCGCTTGTACATCTCTTCAACAATCCAACCTCAAGAGCACCACTGCGTATCGAGCGACAAATTCTCGCCATTCAAGGTTTAGACTATGTGGTCAAGTATCAGAAAGGAGCTGAGAACATCGCGGATTATGGATCAAGACACCTGACGAGGAGATATGCTGATGTTCCCATGGTGAAGTCCGTGAACGAGTTAGAAGAAGGATTACAAACTTTTTTGTCTCTGAAGACAACGAGTACCTTTCCAGAATGGCAAAAGACGACAATGATTACCAATTCCTAAAAGAAGTAATTCAAAGAAACCTCTGGAAGAAACATGGAAAAGATCCAAGAATTTCAAGATTCCTCGGAGTAGCGTCCGACTTATCTGTTGTTGGAGAAATCATCCTGTGTAAGGACAAAGTAATTCCGCCTTTGAGCAGTCGAAGAAGATTTGTCGAGAAAGCACACAAGATTGGGCACTCGGGAGAGACCCGCACGCTGAAACTTCTTCAAGAAAAGATTTGGTTTCCTGGAATTGCTAAACTCTGTAAAGAAGCTGTACAGAATTGCCAAAGCTGTCAAGTCACTCATGATCGAACCTATGATGAGCCTCTTCAATCAACACCATTGCCACCAGGTCCTTGGCATACAATCTCTGTGGATTTCAAGGGACCGTTCAAAGATGGAACTTACGCCCTGGTCGGATATGATCTTTACAGCCGTTATCCTGTTGTAAGCTACTGCAGATCTACAGCGTTCTTGTGTGTGAAACCGATCCTTGATTCGTGGTTTTCAACATTTGGTACAGTGAAGGAGCTGAAATCAGATCGAGGACTTCCATTTAACGGACATGAATTCAGTGCATATGCTCGCGAGAGAGGATTCGTTCACAAACCGGTGAAACCCAGATATCCGAGAGGAAACGGTGAAGCTGAGAAATTCATGCAGAACGTGAAGAAGATGGAAAGAATTGCGAAACAAGAAAGGAAGAAATATCGCTGTCTCATTGAAGGAATGTTAAATGCTTACCGTGCCACACCGCATCCAGCTACAGGGAAAAGTCCATTCGAGCTCATGTTTGGGAGAAAAATGCGACTTGGAGTATTGCCAGAGATCTCAGAAACACCCGAACGTGATAACCACCCTGAAGTTAGACAAAATGATGCCTTGTATAAGTTGAAGTCGAAAAGATACCACGACAAGCGCAGAAATGTGAGAAAGTCCAGAATTGCTGTTGGAGACAAGATTCTCATGAAAAACAAACGGACAGATCTACTTAGCCCGATTCCTGGTAAAGTGATCAATATACGTGGAAACGCCGTGACAGCCTAAAGTGATCAATATACGTGGAAACGCCGTGATTTGATGACGGGAAAGTTTTTATGCGAGACAAGTCACATTTCAAGATTGTACGAGAGAGATCTTACGTCGAAGAACGAGAAAGAGTACGAGAAGAAGAAACGTTTCGAGACAACATACTCAACCAGAGCAGAATCGATCAGAGTACGCGAGACGTCCTGCCAGACCAGATTAATCGTGACGAAGCAGATCAATTGATGAATTCACACAAGAGCAGCACTAACGATCGGAAACAGCCGATTTACGTGACGCGCCGAGGTCGCGAGGTTTATCCGCCGGATCAATTCCAAAGTTGAGGAAAAATGGAATGTTGTGAGAATATTATGAACGTTTTATAATATTAAGAACTCATTAAGAACTCATTAAGAACTCATTCAGTTGGAACTTACTAAGTTATGTAGCTGATTATGCAGCGTATTATTAGTTAGATTATCTAGTATATTGTTATGTTAATAAAGTAAAAAAACCATAAAATTAGAACGCTATTTTAGACTTAGATTAATAATACTGTGTATGTAGTCGGTATAGTACGTGTCAAAAAAATACAATTTAGTGAAACCGATATTTGAGTTTATAACAACACACATCCAGAATTCAGGATTTGACCATTTCTGGGACCTCAGATTTTAAACATTGCCGGACCCTCCTAATCGTAGTGTTAGAAGATGGAATCAGGAGGGGGCCAAAGTCAAATTTTGCCCAAATTTCCCTTGGGTGATGTGCAGTGTATATTGGTTTTGAAATTTTTGAATATCAATTGTAGCCTGTTTTGCGGTTACACATTTTTGTAGTGGTGTGTTCAGACATTTTCAGGGCGTGCTTCTGTTCGGCTAAACTTTGCAAAAAGATGTGCAGGTATAAACAATTTTAATAAATTAGGTACGACATAAAACAATGTATCAGTTAATAAAACAACACAGAAAACAAAACAGCACTCATTGTCAAGATTGAAGACACTAGACTGGAGTGTCGAGACGTTGGGGCGTGAATGCAGTTCGACTGGGCTTTGCATTCACTTATCAAAACCAGAGTAGCGAGCGGAAACACGATTGATATTACTATACCTGGCAGCCGTCAAGTCACAAGCTTTAAATCATTACATTTATTAAATTCTTTGTCAATGGTGCTCGCAAAGTCAATTCGGAAAAACAGCCTAAATCGAATACAATTGCTAATTGGTCAACCCCAGGAACTAGGTTCGTTTCTCCTGGCTAAACAAGGTGTGCAATTACAATCTACAAAACACTGCAATTAATGCTCAAATTGCATTCAATTGCAACTGGCAATAATTTCAATTGCACTTAAATTATCAACTAATCAGATCGCAGCAATGGAGGTGATTAAAAAAGGAGATATCACTATAATACTAAAAACATTATACAACTGATATTTAATAATTAGACAACTCGTCTAACTGTTAAATGATTAAAAAATGTCAAATAAACATTTAAAAACTGGCAAAGTAAAAACACCTTTAGCATTAGCCACTTACCATTATTGAGCCAATATTTTACACTCTTTATGTCAAACACCTCGGACGAGAGTTCGTCCGAGGGGCAAATTGCAAGGGATTTGTCGTTGCAGAATCTCTGAAGGTCACTAAGCTTCCAGAAGTGATGGTGCCCACAACGGTCTGAATCACACAGGGTCTTATGATGACGAGAACATCTTCTTTCTTCTTTACCAAAGCAGCAGGTACATTTCACTCCGAGGTCATAGCTGGTCATGCTGAATAATAGTTGATCTGGAGATTTAAGGTCGTCCAAGCACTTTTCCAAGGTGGCTAAGAAATGACTGGCAAACTTGAAATGGTTTCCATCCTGTTTTGGAAAAACGGCAACCTTGATGAACTCGTGGAAATCAATTAAACGAACGTCATACACGCAGTCGTCTATCATAAGCGGAAGCAAGGAGTAGTTGCAGTAGAAGGAAGGCGTGACTTGTTGGTTTGGGAAGAGCGTTTTCCACTCAGAAATTAACTTCACTTGAAGCTTCGTAAACAGGCTCATCGGTACAAGTTCGCGAGGAAATGTCACAAACAGCGAAGGAACATTTAACCCCTCTTTTTCCAACTCTTTACCAACTATCATAGTTGGAACAACTGAAGGGACATAAAAGGCTTCCTTTTCATCGTACTGGCAAGGACAAATCATATTAAACTTATTCATAAGCTCTTCTAAAAGTTCTGCGTCTTCCAGCGTCTGAAGATATTCTCGAAACAAAATACCTTTCTGCTTGAACACAGCAAGAGCGTGCCTGGACAAGGCATCCAATTTGCCAGGTTGGAGATCACTTTCGTAAAGCGATTCATTAGCCAGGGAGGATCCAATACAACCTTACTGGATCCACTGTGGTGTAGAACCACACCCAGGCGGTGTAGAAATTTGATAGCATGATTAAACTCCCCAACGCCACAGGCCTCCGCTATCTCCTTAGCTTCGTCAACTGGGATATACTTGCGATGTCGTGATAGCTTCCGGCTTAGAGCAGCTTCAAAATTTAGCCACTTCACAGGCATTAAAATCTCCTGGTTAAGAACTCCATTCGAGAGGTCAAACAGCTTTCTACGAAGCTTTCGCACGTAGTCTCCTTCGTCGCCTTTCAATGTATTGTCGATCACGAAAACTCTGGGACGACATTCTGATATGTTCCTCCAGACAAGACCTTTTTGATTCTCTTTTCTACGCAATCTATTTTGCGGTCGTTGCCTTTCACCTCATCACTGTGAGTTAAGGCTATTAAAACTGGTGGCAGTTTAAAGTTCTCACCTTTTGCAGTGGTACAGTGACCAGATTTTGGTTGATCTTGGCGTTCTCCTAAACCTTGCAGAAACTTCAACCATGATGTAAAATGATCTAAATTGGTATTACAATGAGGATTTTCAAACTCTATCTCTTCCTCCTTATCACTTGCTTTAAACTTGGGAGCGGCGGGTTCATCAAACTCCAGAGAAAGGTCGTGAACCAAAACATAAGGGCAATGCGGTTTCACAAAGCAGCCATGGGTATCGTAATAGATTGACTGTCCAGCAAAGTCACTTACAAATACCCGAAGAACTTTTTTCTGGTCGTGTTCAGTGGACCTCTGGGATTTGATGTCGGAGATTTCTCTTCTTAATAATTTTCTTCTATTGACTGGCTTCACTAGCTTTGGCGCATCCCCTTCAAAAGTCATCTGAACTCGTCTATCAAAGTACTCGGCCGTTTTTTTGTGCATCACAGCCTTTGCCTCACCTTCACTGGTCATAAACTCTTTCGCTTCTCTCTTTTTCCAGGGATCTTCTGCACTTTGCTCTGATAGCTCGATAACATCAACTTCAATACCAGTGGTGCTGGGTTGATCTTTGTTGAATGGTAATCCTAAAAGACGTCTCATCAGCGACGTCTTTCCTCCTCGGTCTTGCCCGACCACCATAATCGGAATTCGATTATTTTTGGCTTTACCCTCTTGGAGAGCCTGCGAATATGCACGGGTATAATCTTCCACTTCTTGACAAAAAGTTAAAGACAAAAAGTTAAAACAGGATTTCAGCACTATGTAAAATGAAACACGATCGAAATATTCTTATGAAAAGAGGAAAATACTTATAGCCTAACAACCTCGTTCCCAGGCTCTTCCCTCTTTTTGAGGATGATAGCCTACCTAAACGAGTCAGTCCGAGCTATTGCGTTTGTATGGAAAATTTCCCAGCCTGGGCACCCTTAAATCAGAACAGCTTAGGTACCCGGCCGAGCTGATAGCGTGGGTCGCGAGTCAATAGAAATGGCGCGGGTCCAGCGAAAATGGCGCGGGTCCAGCGAACATGGCGCGGGTAATAAGTCCCGACGCGCGAGTAAAAAGTTCAGAGGCACGGGTAACAAGTTCCGAGGCGCGGGTAACAATTTCCGAGATCAATTACGCGGTACTTATATTCAAGATGGCGACTATTTTGACTACAAATTCTGCAATTATTTGGTCAATTATTCGATCAAATATCGTCTCATTCTGTGGAAACTCTGCGAGCTTCAAACTTAAACTAACAGACATCAATTAACTTAAATAAATCACGTTTCGAGGAATTACTCTGCATATTTTTAAACACAAAGAGAGTGAACAGTTGGAATATTTGGACGGAGTCACTGTCAGTATATTTTTAAATTCTCTATACAAATATTTTGGTTAGAAAACCCCCACAATATTCTAAGCATTTTTTACGGCTTAATCACTGTATACCAGTAATCAGTATCAATTTTTTTTTATGAGTTGCCTGATTTTATTCACATATGACATTTTTATTGATTTAATTATATGATCAGTTTGACATATTTTTGAAGGCATTTTATAGCCTGAGTCAGTAGAAGATATAGACTATCCTGTCGTTGACCAGGGGCGAAGTACATGCTATTATTATATTGCAAAAATGATGGAATTTAGCAAGGCAGAGCAGTCCATCATTTTTGCAATGATAAATAGTTTAACAAAAATTTCAGGTAGGCACTTTCACACTCAATTTATTAGATATCGTCGGAAGCAGGGGGACTGGGAGGGCTTGAGCCACCACCACCCCCCCCCCCCAATAATTTTGTTATTAAAATTGGTTAGTATAGTAGTCTCAATGACGGGATAGACTATATCTTCTACTGACTCGTGCCATATAGACTATCCCGTCAACGACCAGGCTATAAAATGCATTCAGAAATATGTCAAACTGATCATATAATTAAATAAAAAAAATGTCTTATATGAATAAAATCAGGCAATTCATAAATTAAATTTTGATACTGATTACTGGTATACAGTAAATATTAACTATAATGTATAAGCCGCAAAAAATGCTTAGAATATTGTGGGGGTTTTCTAACCAAAATATTTGTATAGAGAATTTTGATTAATTATCTTTTTACCTTAGCTAATTAACAGATTAGTATTTATAATAATATTCCAACTGTTCACTCTCTTTGAGTTTAAAAATGTGCATCGAAAACGCCTCGAAACGTGATTTACTTAAGTTAATTGATGTCTGTTAGTTTAAGTTTGCAGCTCGCAGAGTTTCCACAGAATGAGACGATATTTGACCGAATAATTGATCGAATAATTGCAGAATTTTTAGTCAAAATAGTCGCCATCTTGAATATAAGTACCGCGTAATTGATCTCGGAACTTGTTACCCGCGCCGCGTAATTGATCTCGGAACTTGTTACCCGCGCCTCGGAACTTGTTACCCGCGCCTCGGAACTTTTTACTCGCGCCTCGGAACTTATTACCCGCGCCATGTTCGCTAAACCCGCGCCATTTCTATTGACTCGCGACCCGAGCCATTTAGTGTTCGCTAAACCCGCGCCATTTCTATTGACTCGCGACCCGAGCCATTTAGACTATCCCATAAACTGTGGGCTGACTCGCCTCATCTCTCATAAGAGCATTTGATATGTTTTAATCTGATCATGCTACCAAACACATCTCCAATTACACAGTACAACTCAAGTTGTAAGCACGTTGCATGCAACAGTTTTAAGCCAGGTTTCCATATATGGTTGTAACAGTCATAAAAGATAAAGTTGCGATTTTTCTCATCGGCCAGACTATAATAGTTTTTACCTGTAAACCATGTTTAAATCATACATATTCTCTATATATTATCACTCTACCTATTTTCAATTGTATTTCAGCTATTAAAAAAATCGTGACTCAATCTTTACGACCGTTACGACCATATCGAAACCAGGCTTTGGGCAAAAGTTGTGTAGTGCAAATTGGCTTTCAGACAGATAATGCATCACCCAAAAATTTTAGTTACACACTTGACTTTAGTTAGCTTAATTCACATAAAATTGAAAGACCTTTATTGCACGTCTATTGATTGTCCATTCTTAGCAGGATAAAAGCAGAAACAAAAACAACAGCTAAAGTCTCATTGCACAACATGCTTAATTGTTTACTTCCCAGGTTCAAAAATCACGGGCGGATCTGACCTGATTTGTTAGAGGAGGTGGAGGTTTTCCAGAGGGGGTCCGGTGGCATTCTCCCCCCAGAAAATTTTTGAAATTTGAAGCCCTGAAATGACATTCCTGCATTCTGAGCACTACGTTTATTCGTTAAATTTGTCCTCACAGTACTTGTATTTCGGGCAAAAATTAAGTAAAGTGCTACGTTATATGGTGATCCGCCGTACTGGTGCTTGAATATTTTCTCGCGTATTCGAAAATCAATCGTTTCAGTATAATAAGTAGTATTCACAACTCAAATATGGAATACCAAAGTTTTCAAGGGGGTGCTGAACACCAGCAGAGGGAAGGGGGTGAGCACCCCAATGGTAGATCCGCCCCTGGTTCACATAACCAACAAGCTCTTACAGTTTTATAAATACCTGCATTTCTTAAACACTCGGCAGATTCTTTATGTTTGTACTGCATTGCAGTTTGATACGGAGTTCTATTGAATCCGTCCAACGCGTTGATGTTTGCACCATTTTTCAACAACACCTAAACATGAATTACACAGGATATCATTAATTGAAAAAACAACAACAAATGTTTACCTAGTGGCTGGCTAGTTCACAAATCTGAGGCTGCCAAATTTAGATGCCCAAAAACCTGGAAGTAAAAATAGCAATGATGCTAAGCCCAGAATGGGGGGGGGAGCATGATCATCATGTAATTACCCAGTACCGCCGACAGGTTGCAGGGGGGACCCAGCTCAAAAGCCCCTCTCCCCAAAATAAATTTATGTGAAAAAATGCATGATACGATTCATTGTGGGAAACGATTTTTTGAACTGGCATGAACCATTTTCAAATACCTTGAGCTGCCTCCAAAACCAGGAGGCCATTGGAATTGGCAGCTCTGCAAATATCATTAGAAAAAACCGGAGATGCTGAAGAGGGGGTGCAGGGGAGGGACACTGCCTTTCCCAAGAGGGGCAAAGGTGCCCTTTTTGATATTCGGGAAATATTCGAGATATTTAAAAAGATCATTACATGTTCATGAGGCAAAAATTACAAATTATGAATCTATTTTAAAAATCTGCCCCCCCCCCCAAACACAGATTTTCTGGGGGCACTCTCCCCCAGAAATGTTTTGCACCCCCCAGAGGCATTTGGCGCCGCCCCAAATTATATATTTTACCAACGCCCTTCTCGCCCAAAAAAAGTTTGCCATCTTTATACTTAAAACGAATTGTAAAAATATACACCCTATAATATAACAAGACGCTCTGTGGAGCGTTAACTCGCTGGGGGCTACACAACTGACGCACATTACTGTTAAGATCTAAAGGCTAATTTCCACTGGCACTGTTGCGTTTTTCGTACGCACGTACACGCACGTAAAACTTTGAATCCTTCTATTTTTAAATATTTTACAAATAAGTTAACAAATTCATACTAAAACTTGCGGAGCAGTAAATTCTGTTGCTTTATTTATTTGGTTATTTTACAAATTTAAAGTTTTACGTGCGTATATTAAGCCTGGTGTGCAAATTAAGCCTGGCCCCGAGCTAAGGGGAAACCTCCGGCGTTTATGCCCACAAGTAAAGTTATATTTTATTGTACGCTACATGCTTCTGTTGGCCGCCAGTTTAAAACGTTCAAAATAAAATAGTTTGGGGCTTTTGGGCTTAAAATATTATCAAAATGAACAGTGGCGGGAATTCAAAGCCTCCTAAAATTCCAACAAAACTTTCAAATTTCCGACGTACCCCCCCCCCCATTTGCACCCGAAAAGACTGTTTTTAGCCCTCTTTTAGGTCAAAATTTCCGAAAATTCGTCAATTTTCCGTGAGGGTGGGGGGGGGGAGGGGTGCAACCCACCAAGATTTCCGCCACTGAAAATGAAGAGAGAAGTGAGATGAATCCACTGGTGTACGGCCGAAAAAGAAAAAAACAATGATACCAAAGTTATCAAGAATCAAACGTACTGCATCTTTTATAATTTGAGTGATTTGTCAACAAATAATACAATTTCGCTTGGCTTTCAAGAGGGTCTGAATGGGGGGTTGTGCATGTCAGTTGTCAGTTAAAATTTAGCTTGTTTGTCAGCTATCAGTTAATATTTTGGCGTGTCAGTTAAACACAGTTAATAATTAACTTGCCAAATTCTGTTTGGGTAATTAGTCGTTTTTCTGACTTTCACGAATTTTATGTGTTTTATGGCGATTAATTCGATCTTTTATTCGGATTTCTAATTTGCTCCTGATCAAAGAGTCACCGAAGTATGGAAAAAAGTCCAATCAAACTTCAATTGTCAGTTAACAGTAAAGTTTTACTTGTCAGTAAACAGTTAAAAAAATCGTTATTTGTCAGTTAACAGTTATTTTTAAGGCCGTTTGTCAGTTGTCAGTTAACCCCATTCAGACCCTCTTTCAAAGACAAAGTCAGAGGCCATAAATCGCTAGAATGCTGTTGTCAGTTGTTTAGTAATATATTTGACATCCGTAGGTACAATTTCTCATCCGTAAGTACAATTTCTTACGCTGAATCGAACGGTGGTATTTTTATTCTTATCGCGCCATTAATTAGGCAATACAAATACAAGGTCAAGGACAAACGTACTGCGAGTGATAGTGATTTGATGTCAACAAAACAATTTCGCTTGATTTTCAAAGGCCATAAATCGCTAGAATACTGCTGTTTAGTAATACATTTGACATCCGTAAGTACAATTTCTTACGCTGAATCGAACGGTGGTATTTTTATCCTTATTGCGCCATTTATAAGAGGCATTACAAATACATTATCATGTTTCGCACTGAGTACACTACAGAGTCTACAGACAGTTTTCACGGACTGTTGTTCGATAAATTTTATATTGATATGACACCAATATGCTTCTCAAAAAGTAGTTATAATTTAAACTGCACAACGTAGTTTTAATAAATAACCTTTTACCTTGAAATTGTCTTTGGCTCCTTTGTATTCAGATTCGGTATATTATGATCGTGCACGGGAAATTATTCAACGATCCAAATTTCGGATTTTCAGAGTCGTGCACCAAGAAAAACGCATTAAATAAACTAGCATGAATGTCCAGAGTTAGACACAAAGCAAAATCCATAGAAAACAGGTACAATTCGGCCAAAATTTTCAAGAAATGGGGCCCGGAATTGTTTGAAACATTTCGCCCACTCCACGAAAGGCCCCGCCATTTTGAAAAGGATCAAGCAGCTCATTAATATTCTATTTTGTGGCTATCAACGACGATCGGAAATCTGACATCTGACATCTGACATCCGACATCCACCACGCGTGCAGAAACCTATACTCGCCAGGGCACAGAGTGCCCCAGCGAGTAATTATTGTAACTAGGAATCCAAGGATAGTTCAAATTTTCAAGTATGTAGCTTAGAAACTGCTGCAATGGGAATTGAGGACGAAATAAAATATGAAAATTTTTGCCTGAATACCAAGCACTCTGGTCTATAAATAGGAAATTGCTGTAAGTTGCTAAGTTTGTTTACATCTCACATGTCAATTTCTATTAAAACACGAAGCCCTATATCGTTCGAAATCTTGTCTGTAAACAAATGTCTGCTCATGCGTACTGTAGGTTTTAAGATGTTTTGCAACATTTCTTGTAAATAATGCAAGCTACCAAAATGACAAAATAATACACTCTATGGATTAAATTAAAACAGCAGATCCACAGTTGTAACAATTTTGATTTGATATTTTCATATTTGATTATTCTTACTACTAAATTTGTAAATTACTAACATTATGGTCTCAGATGCCGCCAAAGCAACCAGCAGCAACTCCCCCCCCCCCCAGATATTTATCCACCACCCTCGAACGAAAATATGAAAATTCGTTTCTGCCCCCCACACACATATCGTTCCACCGTCCCTGCAAAAAACTGATATTGTTTATTCAATTTTCAGCGGCATTTCTACCAAAAATTGCGAGGATTAACTGGGCTGCTGAACATTGATTATCTCACGAGAGAAACAAACCTTAATGCATTTCACATGACCTTCACATGCAGCTTTGTGCAATGGTGCATAACCACCATTGTTCACCGCATTCACATTAGCACCATAGTTAAGCAACAATTGTAAGATATTATAACGACCCCCACGTGCAGCTTCATGTAATGGTGTATCATCATAATTGTTCACCGTATTCACATTGGCACCATGGTTAAGCAACAGTTGTAAGATATCAGGAACCTGATATATTGCATAGTGCAATGGTGTATATATAACCCTCCTTGTTCACCGCGTTCACATTGGCACCATGGTTAAGCAACAGTTTTAAGATACCATCATGACCCTGAAATGCAGCGTAGTGAAATGGTGTATAACCCCCCTTGTTCCCTGAGTTCACATTGGCACCATGGTTAAGCAACAATTGTAAGATATCATCATGACCCCAACGTGCAGCTTTGTGCAATGGTGTATCACCCCCTTTGTCTACCGCGTTCACACTGGCACCATGGTTAAGAAACAGTTTTAAGATATCAGCATGACCCTCACGTGCAGCAAGGTGCAATGGTGTATCACCCCCTTTGTCCACCGTGTTCACACTGGCACCATAGTTAAGCAACAGTTGTGAGATATCATCATGACCGCAACGTGCAGCTTTGTGCAATGGAGTGTACAAGAGACCAATACGTTGATTGAATTTGTTGATGATATCCGAGTCTTTTTCCAAGATCTCATGTACTTTGTGAAGATCCCCTTTTCCACATGCATCGATCAGATTTTCGTCTAGTCTTGTTGATATTCCTTGGTTTAAAACCTTGATAGAATTTGTTATCATAGTAAAACTTGCAGAAGCATCCTCTGAAAAGTTCCTAAAGAAACAGAGTTAGTAATAAGTAGGGATGTGTCAGAGCCAGATACCGGTATCCGGCAAAATATAGGCATCCGTCACCATATAGTAAAATAGACTTTTTATTTTTATTTATTTTTATTTAATAGCTTAGCCCTTGTACAAATATTAATTATTAGCACATGGCAGGGAATCTGCAACAGCGCAAGCCAATTACTGCAGCCCCTTTAAAACTTAACAACAACAAACATAATGATAATATAGGAACGAGTTGTTTCCTTGTCCTCAGAGGCAAGTCGTAAGCGTGACTTTTATCACAGCCCTATAGATATCTGTTATAAAATTAATGCACTTTGAACAAATTAGTTCGTTTTTATAATTCGTTTAAGGTTACAGGACACCTTTTTTGGCGTTTTGCGGAAAATCGCTACTGCGCGCTCAATATCAGTCCGATTTTCATCAAATTTTCACCAAATGTTCTCCAGTGTATGCAAAATATGCATATGGTAAAGTCGTAAAATTAACAAACAATAAAATAATGTAAGCATTATTCAGGAAAATCTTAAATCACGGTACCGTTACGCTTTTGAGTTGTGCTCTTATATTTATGAAAATATCATTTTTATACAGTAAAATAGTTGTTCTAAAAAATTGTGTTAGGAAATTTTTGTTTATTTCGTCATTCCGCTGATATGGCGATTTCTTTGACGACTGCAAAATATTTCTGAATTGTTTGAGTGAATTGCTTTTTATTTTTAAAATATCCAAAATTAAAAAAAGCCGAACACAGTTTTGAAACAGACGTGTTTAGCTATGTCCTGTGAAAATTTGAGAAAAATTGGTTAAAACCCGCAGGAGCACAACTCGTTTGAAAATCAGTAATTACTGTAAAATGTTTCGGGAGAAAATTGAATTTGAATATTACATTTTCAATGTTTTTCTTATTGTAGCGAAATGTATTTTATTAAATAACTCAGCGAGTTTTCAACATTTTTCGTTCAAACTTGGTCAGATAGTAGAACTAGTCTAATGCTTTCATTGAAACCAATAAAAAAAATTTTAGGCAAAATTAACACTCAAAGGTGTTCTGTAACCTTAAAATGATAAAAATTATTACATGGAGAGTTTTTAGCCAGGCCTGAGTTTCAGCCTGGTTTCCTGGGCTGAAATTTTAGCCTGGCCTAAGGATAAAATCCTATTAAAACACAGCAAGCGATTACATGAGAATAATTTCGGCCAGGGATGAGTTTTAGCCTAGGAAAACATTTTAGTCCCACATGAAGAAGTTTTAACAAGTTTACCCTGCTTGTGACGTCATCAAAAACTCAGTTAATTAGGTCAATTATAATACCAAGATGGTGGACTGCACACAGTTTTTGGTCGAAAACCAAGAAGGTACGAAAAAGTTGTAAAGGGTCTTCATATATAACTTTAAAAGCTCTTTCAAATAAGACAAAGTTGATTTTTATTGCCATATCAATTTAAATATGGCATTTTCTAAACTAGCTGAAACTATCAATTCAAAACTTAATTAACTAATAATAACATATTAATAATAACTAATAAATTTAATTGTAACAATAACTAAAATAATAATAATTAAAAATTAATAACTAATTAACTAGCCCTGTAACTTAGTTGCAGACTGTATATATAATGTAAATATTTCAGTAAATTGTAAATACCAATTAGAATAGGTAGTTCTTTATGATGTCAAGACTATAGTCTGAGATATACATTATTATGTGTGATGTCCATGTACTATTTAAAACATGAGCAGCAGTGTTCTATCAGAGACAAACATAAGAGGCAAAGCCGAGTATCTTTAGGTCTGATAAAACACGCACTGCAAATGTTTGAAATTGCTTCAAAAACAATTGGTCTAGTAAGTTCATTAGCAAAGTAATTTTCAAAAAATATGTTGTGTAAGTTGAGAAAATCAAAATTAAAGTTTAAGTAAATCAAGGGAAATCTCTATCACATATAAAGATAGGACACGCTTATGATTTTTCTTTGTGTTTTCCTCATGAATTATTAATGAGTTTTTGAAGTATATGTGAATAGTTTCAAAATGTTGCGTCTGGACGAAAATTACTTTGTGTAAATCCAGTCACCAATGAAAATAAAGTGCATTATTATTATTAATAGGTACAAAAATGACTAGAATAGTTGAAAGTTCAATAAAATTCCATTGTGTTACTGTGTCTACCAACTGTTTTTGTAGCCATAGGTGTTTTCTTAAACCATGCAATGTTCAATCTTACACACTGTGAATGCAGATTCGCAGTGGCGTAGTGACGCATAACCACAGTGGCCCAGGCTCAATCTGTGTGGGAACTGTATTTATTTATTTCCTACACAGTGAAAATATATGTGGCAGGGTATTCTGCAATTGTACCAAACATTTTTACCCTCATACATGGCACTCGGCAGGCATCTACTGTTCAAGAACATTTGGAACACTGTTCTGGAACGATATGAAATGCACATGGTGTTCTGGAACAGTGTTTATTTAAGTATGCTTTTGTAATGTTTTTACTCGCTGATTTTGCCCAATCCTGGTGTTCAAATAGCATATAATAACTAGATACATGTCGATATATAGTGGTTAACCCTTCAAAATAACACTCTATGCAGTGTGCATTGGATACACAAAATCTGTCGCCTCCACTTCCAATCATGTGAAAATGGGCAGTGTCACGTGTCTGTTCTGGCTGACCCTACTCGAAAATCGGGGTAGTCAGAACAGTTCAGAACAGTCATGTGACTTTCTTCTGTCCCATTCCATTAGTTTTCCGAAAATCTGGAGTACTCCGACAGTAAATAGAGCAGCTTGCGGGTTGCATCATTGAGTCACAACCTCGTCCCTGGGTACAAGGTTGCATTGGGTTGTATGCACCCTACTTTATTATTTTACTCTGTCCAATGCCAGGTGAGTTTACTGGCCAAGAGGAGAGCACTGGCACTTAAAGGTAGGTTACAGTCGCATCTGCGCATGCGCTGGACTTTGTTTACGTTTTTTGTTTTGATCCACATTAATTATATAAGATGAAGTATATGACGAGTTCAAAGTAACATTCCACATAATTTGTGACCGAGGAGTGCAATGTTTTACAATACTTCGCTGCATTTATTGTACATTTCTACACTGGAAATTTTTGTACACAATAACACAATCTTATACTGTAACTCTTTAATTGTAAACATTGTGAATAAACAGGCCGCTTTGAACCTTGTGTGACTTGCTATATACAACAGCTGGGGCGGCGAAACGAAATCCCGAAGGTGTGAGTTCGAATAATTTGTGTTTAGTGTTTACCTTTGGAATTTGTGTCTAATCACGAAAATAGTTCATGTGGTATCAATCCCTCGAAACATGTTGCCAGAGTTGTTGTTGTCATTATGACAGAAGCACTTGGGGAAAGCTTTTCGCTTGACGAAATTCGAAACAAGTGTGATTGAGAATGTGGCTGCAGTTCCAACAAGTGTGATTGAGAATGTGCTGCAGTTCCTAGGAGTCTTCGTGGCAAAGCCAAGGGCGAAATTTTTGACCGTGCAAAAGCTGGATAAACAGCTTTTGTTCAAGCTCGTGCGCGCTATGGAGATAATTTTGGATGCTGTTTTAATATAAACAACAGAAGAGTTCAATAGATTGACAGTGACGAGAGTACGAGACGCTAAGATTATATTCAACTTTTTTGTGTTATAAAAATATATGTTTTGAAATTATGAACTGGAAGTATGAATTCATTGATATTACTCTCATATTGACACTAAATGATGATATTCTTGTGACACTGAATGATCTAATATTAATAGCTTCAACAATTCTGGTGATCAGGTTACTTCATCATGTCTCTTCAAGACGGAGGACAATTGCTAAATATATGCTTGTTTCGCTCTATATCAGAGCTCATCAGAATGCCCAGGAAACACTGATGAAATTTTGATTTACATCAACGAATCTTTCTTTTTTTAACAGATTTATTGAGTTAAATGGTAATATATATATATATATATGTAGCAGCTACAGACATTAAAGAAGAACTCCAAGGGGTTAAAAGCACAAACATGACTCCAGGGCTTTATTTATAGCCTTTATATGCACCCTGAGAATACTGAATATAGCTACTAAATATAATTACAGTTTGTAACATGAACAATCAGATAAGCACCATTTACATCAGGGTCTGAAATTTATATTTTTTCTCAGTATCCAAAGGGGATACCAGGATTCAAAATTTAGTATATCCTATCCCATCCAAATAAGTTTCCATAACACTCACTGTTACAAATTACAATAACAACTGAGGACACTCAACAGTCAACAACAAATAAACAATTGATCCACATAATCCTTCAACAAACTTCTATATGCTAGTCCTATTGAGGAAAGACTGGTGGTAAACTGATAATATTCAAAAACTTTCAGGAGCTCATCAAAGGATTTTTTTTAGTATCCAGTCAGGATAGTATTATTCATAATTTGGTATCTGAAATATATTTTTGGTATCCTGTGGATATCGGGATACTAAAATATATTTCAGACCCTGTACATAAGAACCTGTTTAGGCTAGCTTGGAAAAAATCTAGGTTCTTATTCGCAGGGTTTTACTGTGCTGTCTAATTTTGTCCCAAAACAGACCATGCACGGCAGCCTGTTCTGGGACAAAATTAGACAATGGGATGGTGCCACTCTTTGTGACACAAAATCAGGCAATTATAGTACAATATGAACTGGCAAGTGTCTGGCACCTTAAACTCAGATTCCTTTGTGTAGATGGAGCTCATAAGCCTTGGCTGGCAATCCATCTAGGAGAAAGAAAGCTCTGATTTCAAACCCCCAGACCCCACTAGATCTGACTGGTCTCCATGTGATAAAATAAGAACCTGAAATACTAGCCTAAACAGATTGGGTGTCTAAATACTGAAAAATTAGCCTGACAGGCCCTTATACAGGTTCTTTATATCCAAGCTTTTACTTACAATTAGGGTGGAAAATATACTTACTAGTAATTATTAGTTGAGTTTGTTTACATCATATAAGTATTTGTGATCAAAATCTTTTATAAACTAAATGTCTTAGGGGTGTTTATATGGAAGCAAGCCAGCTCAGTCACCTGAGCTAGGTGGCTTTGCCTAGCTAATTTCATCATGTAGCAGGCTGGCACCAAAACAAATCATTGCGAGAAACTGTCATGGTTATGACCGTCACAACTGTTCACAGAGGCATGAATTTATAAAATTATATATAGATCAAAAATCTGTTGAGAAAGTCTTATTTACTACAATTAGTACAATATATTCGTATTGAGCGGCTTAGCAAATCAGCCAACCTAGGCGAGATCTGGGGCTCTGTCGGGCTTCACAATTTAAACAAGATCTTGCTTAGGCAAGCAAGCCTGGTTCTCATATACGCACAATACGAATATTAGTATAAATTATCTAGCAACATTAGATCTCGGCCATGCGAGCTAGCTCAGGCACCCGAGCTGGCTTGCCTCCATATAAACACCACATTAGGTCAAGTACTGTAACTTCAGTCTTCAGAGCAACTAAAAGGCATTTAAACTGTTATGTGCTTTGATCAAATTAAAATCTACTTTAACTTTGATCAGAGAAACTTTTTGATGTGTTTCTTTTAAGTGAGCACAAGTTGTCCATGAGCAGACAGTCAAAGACAGTAAAGCACTGCCACAGCCAAGTAGATTATCACTCTGACAAGTGACAATAACACGTCTATATAAACAGCTATCCAAAAGTCCCAAAAATGTTCACTCCAAATTGTTCATTATTTTTTCATCGACAACTCACTAGTCTCGAGTATCATATCTTTAGGCCTTTATAATTATATTATGAGTTTCAGTTTGTAAACAAAATAGATAAACAGTTCGTATATATTAACGATAGTGAAATAGTGTAATAAAGGAAATTTTATAGTCATTAAAACCTCGATTGATGGGCTTCAACAAGCGATTTCTCTGAAGGATCAACATTGCAGCTATGTTTGGAGCAATCTCCAATCCTTCTAGGATTCTTTTCTTGACAACCTTTGGTAGAAGCCCGAGGATGCAGGTATATCATGGCCATTCATGGGCAGACGCAGAAATGGAATGCGCTCTCCATCGAGGAAAACAATAAAATAGATACACTTTGATACACTTTCGAAGCATCCCTGTTAGCGTAGTATCCTTTCCTACTCGTCATATTGCCTCAATAACTCGTTATTTGACGAACTGTCGCTCAAAAAGCTCAAAATATTTTGGAAACTTCTTCGCTCCTTAGGCATTAAATTCAATTGCGATAAAAACAACGCGCGTGTTATTGCCAGAAATGAGACTGGACCGAGCACAACAGAGGATGACAACTTCCTGTGTGTCCCCACATAAACAAAAGTCCAGCACATGCGCAGATGCGACTGTAACCTACCTTTAAAGGTAGGTTACAGTCCCTTCTGCGCATGCGCGGGCTTTGTTTACGTTTTTTGTTTTGATCCACATTAATTATATAAGATGAAGTATATGACGAATTCAAAGTAACATTGATTCCACATAATTTGTGACCGAGGAGTGCAATGTTTGACAATACTTCGCTTCATTTCTTGTACATTTCTACACTGGAAATTTTTGTACACAATATAAACACAATCTTATACTGTAACTGTTTAACTGTAAACATCGTGAATAAAGTTATAAAGAGGCCGCTTTGAACGTTGTGGGACTTGCTATATCAACAGCTGGGGCGGCGAACCGAAATCCCGAAGGTGTGAGTTCGAATAATTTGTGTTTACCTTTGGAGTGTCTCATCATGAAAACATTTAATGCGGTATCAATCCCTCGAAACATGTTGCCAGTGTTGTTGTTGTCATTATGACAGAAGCGCTTGGCCTTGGGTAAAGCTTTTCGCTTGACGAAATTCGAAACAAGTGTGATTGAGAATGTGGTTGCAGTTCCTGTCTTCGTGGCAAAGCCAAGGGCGAAATTTGTGACCGTGCAAAAGATGGATATACAGCTTTATTTGTTCAAGCTCGTGCGCGCTATGGAGATGATTTCGTTATAAACAACAAAAGAGTTCAATAGATTGACAGTGACGAGAGTACGAGACGCTAAGATTATATTCAACTTTTCAGTTGTGTTATAAATATGTATGTTTTGAAATTATGAACTGGAAGTATGAATTCATTGATATTACTCTCATATTGACACTAAATGATGATATTCTTGTGACACTGAATGATCTAATAGCAATATTAACTTGAACAATTCTGGTCAATCTAGTGATCACGTTAGTTCATCAAGACAGAGGACAATTGCTAAATATATGCTTGTTTCGCTGTATATCAGAGCCCATCAGAATGTTCATGAAACACTGATGAAATTTTTATTTACATCAACGAATCAGTCTTTCTTTTTCTTAACAGATTTATTGGGTTATATGATAATACAAATAATTTATAAACAATTATTATTAAAACACATATATCCAAGGGATAGGCATGAATATGACTCAAGGGCTTGTGCTCCCCCCCTGAAAGTACTGAATATACTAAATATAATTACAGTTTGTGACATGAATTCAGGTAAGCACCATTCACATAAGAACCTGTTTAGGCTAACTTGGAAAAAATCTAGGTTCTTAGGGTTTTACTGTCTAGTCTAGGGTTTTACTGTGTTGTCTGATTTCATGTCACAAAACAGGCCATGGGCATGGCAGCTTGTTCTGACAATATATACCTATATATGGGATGGTGCCACTCTTTGTGACACAAGATTAGGCAATCATAGTACAATATGAAGTGGCTTGTGTTTCAGATTGCTTTGTGTAGGAGGCAATCCATCTAGGAGAAAGAAAGCTCGGATTTCAAACCACCAGATCCCACCTTGGACAATACGTGTAGTGAATACATGATCATTAGAGCTTGGAAATTAGGTTAAATTCTTAAAGAAAAGCGACTCATTTTTGGTATTCGAGGTATAATTTACATGTATATACTATATATAAATTGCGCACAAATTATCTAACTAATAGCTATGCCGCGGTAAAGCTATACTGTAAAGCTGCTAACACTTTATTTATCTCAATGACATTTTCAGTGTTCTGGATCATTTTCATTATTTTGACTTTGTGAAGAGTTTATTTTCTTTGATTTATATGCATTTTTAGATTTGATTTGTCTTCATGTGATAAAATAAAAACCTGAATTGCTAGCCTAAACAAATTCTTATTTAGGGTGTCTAAATAAAAAATTTTAGCCTGACAGGTTTTTAAATTGTAGGTTCTTATATGCAAACTTTTAGTCACAATTAGGGTGAAAAAATATACTAGTAATTATTAATTGAGTTTGTTTACATCATATAAGTTTCTGTGATCAAAATGTTTTATAAACTAAATGTCTTAGGCGGTGTTGATATGGAGGCGAGCCAGCCCGGTTACCTGAGCTAATTTAATTTAATTTTTAAAAGTCCATTTTTAAACCTTACACCAAAGTGTGTTTAGTTATCGAACTACGAATCAAATTTTATAATCGCTGACTTTTTAACAGCTATCAGCACAAAAAAATTCTTACTTTTGCTGAATTAACGTCGGCAAACATTTGCCGGCCTGGGAGGTTGATAGGTCGGCATTTAGGTCGGCATTGCTGAATGCCGACCTCGTTTTCGAGGGCTGTAAGCTGCTTTGATTAAAATATACTTTGATCAGAGAAACTTTTTATGTGTTTCTATTAAGTGAGCACAATTTGTCCATGAGAAGACAGTCAAAGACAGTAAAGCACGGTCAAGTAGATTAATTTATATCATTTATCATTCTGACAATAAACACTATATAAACAGCCATCCAAAACATGTTGACTCCAAATTGCTCATTAACACTTTTTCATTGACAACTCCTACTCACGAGTATCATATCTTTAGGCCTTAATTATATGGGTTTCAGTTTGTAAATTAAAGAGATAGAACAGTTCGTATGTAACTATAGTGTATAATTAAAATAGTGAATAAAGAGAATTTTATAGTCATTAAAACCTCGATTGATGGGCTTCAACAAGCGATTTCACTGAAGTGTCCACAGTGAAGGGAGTGAATAGCAGCTATGTTGGGTGAAATGTCCAATCCTTCTTGGATTCTTTTCTTGAAAACCTTTAGTAGAAGCTTGAGGATCAGAGGATGTAGGTTCATGGGGAAACGCAGACAGAAATGGCACGCTCTCCATCGAGGAAAACAATAAAATAGATACACTTTGATACACTTTGTAAGCATCCCTGCTAGCGTGGTATTCTTTCCTACTCGTCATGTTGCCTCAAAAACTCGTTATTTGAAGGATTGTCGCTCAAAAAAGCTCAATATATTTTGGAAACTTCTAGCTTCACTCCTTCGCTTGCGAAAAAAAACAACGCGCGTGTTATTGCCAGAAATGAGACTGGACCGAGTATAAACCGAGATGCCCAACTTCCGGTGGAGTCCCCAGGCAAAAACAATCACAGACATGCGCAGAAGGGACTGTAACCTACCTTTAAAAGATATGAGAATATAATTTTATATATGCATCATAAAATCGTTTACCTCGAATATACTGCATTCTTTATAGCATACTGTAATTCAAAATCCATGTGACTTCAAAGTTTATAATTTCCATCCTAACAAGCCTAAAATCTGCTGTCTGTTGTTTTAAAATATGAATTTTCAAACAATTGTTATACATTCATATTTTAAAAATCAAAGGCAAAATCATTTGTATTTGAAACTTTTATAGTTCGTGCATTGCAATGTTCAGTTGCTCATCCCCCCGGGATAACATGACCTAAATAAGGCCAGGTTACGAAAATGTCCAATATTTTTGGACACACGTGACCAGTGTTTACCAGGGCCTTTGCTTCCCGTACCAGAGCCTCTGAACCGCGCAAAGGCCCTGGGTACGAGGTTGGGAGTCTGGGACATGAGCAGTGCTTCCACTATTACATTTTAAAATTCCTGAGATTTCAGTCAAAATTTCCTTAGATTTCCTTGATCAAGGAACAGAACTTCCTTGAAATTTCCTTGAGAAAACGTTTAGTTAATTTCAGTGCTCTCACTTTTAAGGAATTATCCTTAAAAATAGGAATTTTGAAGAGTTTTAAGGATTTTTTAAAGGAATTTAGGTTTTTGAGGATTTTTTTAAGGATTTTCCAAAACATTTTATCTTGAACTAAAAACATAGACTAACCACGCCACGCAAATGAGATTTAAACTTGAAAGTAGCAACATTATATGCACATAATTACATATATTCGTATGTTCTCTATGTCGTAAATGTACATATGGCTGTCTTTCCATTAAAATTCTCAAAAGTTAAATGTCAGTGTATGCTGTTTCTTCTGAAATCTACAGATTTACTAAGTTCTCAGGGCCCTAGCGACCGGGGGAGGGGGGAGGGGGGAGGGAGGGTGCAACACCCCTAATATTGCTCATGAACAATTTCAGGTCGATATCCTGTACATTTTCAGGTAAATTCAGGTAATTCTCAGGGCATTTCAGGGTCTTTGCACAATTTAACTGCACATTAGTTGGTTTAGCAGATAGGTTAATTTATCACTTTACTGCCTTTTTTGTTTGGCACCTATTGATAAATTAACACACATTATTATGTAAACAACTGAGAATGTTATTGTTGTTCCACATGTTATTGTTGTTAATGTTTAGCAAAGACAAGTGCCATGTGCATTAGTATGCCATGTTGATTTCAAGATTTAGATACTAATAGGGACTTACAAAACAAGGCACTACAAATCAATCAAATTGCAAATATGCCCGAAAAGCAACCAATATCGGATTGGATTGGTTCCCTACCGTTAATAGAGATACCTATCCAAGCGAAAAATAACCAAAATATTAATAGAAATACCTCGAACAAGCTTCCTTTTCCCAAGCGCCATCGAACGAAACCACCATCCTATCAAACGGGCCATCGCCACCAATCCCTCGAATGGCTGAGCCATTTGGACATTGTATACCAACTGTGCAAGAGGTAGGAAACGTGACGACTATGTCTATTCCTACACGAATTACTGCACGCAAATCCCAACCATTTTTTACAACTCACCAAAATCACCATAGACCTTGTGGCTCTGACATACGAAATCTGAAAAATATTGTCATACACAAACCTAATGCCTGTATTACAAAGTCTGTAATGTCTTCAACATCAACTTTAAAAATAGGAAACAATTTTCAAAATACTAGGCTCAAAATCGCTCATCTTAATATCCGTTCACTTAAAAGCAATACACATCTTACCCAACTCAGAGATTTGGCGCGTAGAGAAAATTTTGACATTTTAACAATATCTGAAACATGGCTTAACACTAGTGTTTCGTCTGCCGAAGTAAGGATAGACGGATATAATCTTTTCAGATTGGATCGTCTTAATAAACGCGGCGGTGGTGTATGCACGTACGTTCGCAAAGAACTTAAATCATCTGTTTTAAAATCCTTAACTTTCATTTCCGAAGAAAATTTCCATCAACTATGGATAAATGTCCAGTGCCAGAAATCTAAGTCGCTCATAATTTGTGTAGCCTACCGACCACCTGACTGTCCTCTGCACTGCTTTGAACATACATTAAAACCAAATTACATGGAAGCTCTTCTATTAAACAAACCAATCGTGATCCTAGGTGACCTAAATTGTGATGGATTAAAGGATAATTGTGTAGAATATAAAATTATGGATAGATTTTTAAATGAAATGAACCTCACTCAACTTATTAAATCGCCAACGAGGATCACTGATGCAACTCAATCATTGCTAGATGTTATCCTAGTGTCGTCGAAGTCAATTGTGTACCGAAGTGGAGTATTGCTTACATCAATCAGTGACCATCTACTTGTGTACGCTGAACTTAAGATTAAGTCTCCTAAGCAACCTTCGCAATACATTACAGCACGTAGCTTTAAAAATTATGTACCGAATTATTTTGCAGCTGATCTTGCGGACAAATCAGATTGTCTCCTATCTATTTTTGACGGCGACGATGTAAATGCTAAACTAAACATTCTTAACCATGCGATCCAGTCTACACTAGACGTTCATGCTCCAATTAAAACAATTAAGATCCGTAACCGACCATGCCCATTTATTACCCAAGACCTCAGAAACCTTATGAAAGAGAGAGATCGATTACATCAACGATTTCTACGTACGCGGGATATTATAGACTGGGTCAATTATAAGAGCTACCGGAATAATGTGAAGAGAGATCTTAAGAAGGCGGAGAATGAGTATAACTCTAATGAAGTACGGCAACATAAAGATAATCCGGGGTCTCTATGGAAAATAGTAAACCGTCTTATACCATCAAAAGGAAAAGAAAGACAAATCTATAAAGGAGACCATAAATCTCTTGCAAATGATTTCAATCAGTTTTTTTCATCGGTTGGTGAAAATGCAGCAAGGGCGTCTTCTCATCTAGCAGATACTAACAACATCAATCTACGAGAATCAATCGAATCAGTCGTTATAACTGAAATCGACCAATTTAAGTTTAGAGCCGTAACTTGCCACGAAGTACGTCGAGTAGTTTTATCGTTACCTCTCAATAAATCATCTGGTCCGGATAAGATTAACCCACGGATCATAAAGGACTGTCTTCCGGTCATTTTGGGTCCTTTAACGGAAATTATAAATTGTTCCCTTCGTACTTCTACTTTTCCTCTGGCATGGAAAAAGGCAGAACTTATTCCTATTCATAAAGAAGGTGACCACGAGGTACCCTCAAATAATCGACCAGTTTCCCTTCTTGTAGTCGCATCTAAAATCTGTGAAAGATTAGCTCTTGAGCAATTTAGCTGTTACCTAACAAGCAACAACCGACTATCCTCCCACCAAAGTGGAAATAAAAAACTTCACTCGACAGAGACATTAAACGTTTTTATCACTGACACCATCTTAAAGGCCATGGATAAAAAGAAACTCTCAGCTCTAGTGTTGCTTGATCTCTCAAAAGCATTTGACAGTATAAACCATCAGAGACTACTTCATAAACTATCAAATGTCGGAGCATCCAAATCAACAGTAAACTGGTTCAGAAGCTACTTAACAGACCGTTTCCAATCAACCCGTATTAACTCTACGTTATCAGATCCATTACCGATAACTTATGGTGTACCTCAAGGGGCCATTTTATCGCCATTGCTCTTTTGTATATACCTTAACGATCTACCCTGTGCATCTTACAATGGTGATCTTGAATCATACGTTGATGATACGAAAACTTTGTTATCGTTTCCTTTAACGGAAGCTGACACTGGAATTAAAAATCTGGAAGAAGACCTACATAAAATTGCGTCTTGGTGCTGTGAAAACAATCTTTTGGTGAATCCAGATAAAACAAAATTCATGATCATTGGAACCAGGCAGCTGATGAACGAACTTGATGTCAATATTTCGATCTCTTTTATGGGGAAGATTCTAGAACCTGTTGATTTTGCCAAAGATCTAGGACTTCTAATGGACAGTCACCTAAGTTACGATAAGCACATATCGAATCTAGTGTCGTCCTGCCTTTATAAACTGTGCCAGATAAACAGAGTTAAAAATAATTTTGACAAGGGAACACTTACAATGATAATCACTTCATTAGTGATCAGTAAACTGCTCTACTGTTCCACTGTATGGTCAAATACAACATGCACTAATATAAAGAAACTTCAATCTATTCAAAACTTTGCATGTAAAATAATCACAGGATCCAAGAAATACGATCATGTAAGCCCATTACTCCAAAATCTTGAGTGGCTCACAGTTGACAAATTACTCTATTTCCGTGATGCCGTAATGACTTTTAAATGCATGAACAACTTAGCGCCGAAATATCTTTGCGACATGTTTGAGAAACGATCTTGTATTCATAATCGGTCTACGCGGAACTGCAACTCAATACAGATACCATTGTTTAAAACAGCGTCAGGGCAACGGTCATTTGCTTTTAGAGGAGCTTCAATTTGGAATAACTTAGACACTGAGCTAAAGAAATGTACATCACTTAAGACATTTAAAAGTCAACTTAAAGAACACTTACTGTCTACTTAGACTATAGACTACTTCCTATTTTAGACTATTAAAAACTTAGATATCAGTCATTTTTATTCCTAACTTTGTAGAAACTGTAAATATTTTAAAATTGTAGTTTTATAAAATAATTTTGTAAATGGGTTCTGAAAAACCCTTTTGGGAGAAACCATTAATTTTAATAATAATAAAATAATAATTTAGATAATTAGATTTTCATCATATCAATCATAGCATATTTATGGTAAGCATAAATATATTATATTTTTATAGGTACCGCGTTCCAATCTCCAGTTGTCGCGAAACCTTTATAGATACTTCATGCAGTTAATGTTATGTAATGATGTTAAATGTTCTGAAATTAATTAAACTATTATTACACTAAATACCCTGCAATTAACAGTTTTAAAACAAGACTTTAACTTTTAATATTGTTTTCTTTTATATATTGCTACTTATCATATTTCTTTAGATTTCCTTGAATTTCCTTAGATTTCCTTAATTTTTTTCCGTCCTTGAAAATTCCTTTTGCGAGTCAAAATTTCCTTGAAAAAGGAAATTTCCTTGAAAGTGGAAACGCTGGACATGAGTCAGTGAGTCACATGCAGTGCTTCCATTTTCAAAAAACATAATTTCCTTCCAGCCATTCAAAATTTCCTTATTTTTGAAAAAATGTCCTTGCAATAAAAATTATTGAATTTTACTTAATTTAAAACTGATTTTATAGTAATTTATCTCGAATAACGGGGTATTTCTTGTTCTAGAAGGAACATAGACGTTGCAGGAGCTGAATTATCAAAGGGGAGAGACAAAGAGTTTACCTAGATTAACACGACGGAAAATAACCAGGGGGATCTGGGGGTCTTTCCCCAGAAAATTTTCAGATTTTGTATCTCGCAAACTACCCTGGATTCCAGAGCCTTCGACAGTAAATAATAAATTGAAACGTCGTGAAGGCTCTGGTTCAGAGTACAGAATATGTACTAAAACCACTAATTCTGTTTTGTGATTGGCGCGGTTTAATCAAAGAATCTCCCCATTGAACCAGAGCCTTTGCGACGTTTCAATTTATTATTTACTGTCGAAGGCTCTGGAATCCAGGGCACTCGCAGACAGGATTTTAAGAATATTTTGAAGCGCATTTCCTTGGAAATTGCCGTATTCCTGGGATTTTTTAGAAAAAAGGCAATATCCTTCACATTTCCTTCAATCTTCCGAAATTTCCTTCAAATTTTCTCTAGATTCAAATTTCCTAATAATTTCCTTCAACTAGTGTGTGAACTCACTCATTTCAATCACTCAGAAGTAAAAATGAAAATGTAGGTATTTCTTCTTTTCCAAATGAATTCGAGAAAAGAAATCATACAGAATCATATAGTTCTTAATAACTAATTTTAAATACATTAAAGTTTTATTGCAAGCAAAACAACAAACGCCCCTCAAAGCAGTCCGAACCATTGAACTAAAAATAACTGGAACGCTACGTTCAGTAAACTGCGCATGCAAATTTTGAAGCCAAAATTTGACTCCCATGAAGCCAAATGAAGCCAGTTTTGACTCCCAGACACGCACTTCCACGCGTGTTTCTACTGCGCGATTTACTCGCGAGACAATGCAGGGGGCGCTCGAAGCATGCCGTTTTGAACGTTTTCATGGCAGGATGCAAATCGAAAGGGAAACGGGCCTTTTCAATTTAAAACGGGCCTTTTAAAGCCTGTGTACGACCTTGTAGAATTTAGCTTCAAATTTCCGCTTAAACGTAGCGTTCCAGTTATTTTTAGTTCAATGGTCCGAACAGACATTTTCCTAACAATTTAATACATCCGGTGCCAAATATAGCCTCTACTAAAATAAGGCACCAGTCATAAAGTATGGGGGGGGGGGGGCTGGAGAAATCAAATCTTCAACTGTAAATTTTTCCTTGGCCCACCCCTAGAATAAGGCTTAATTATCAATGGCCCACCCTTAAAGTCTTGCACAAAAATTAATGACCCACCATTTTCTAAAAGACAACAACAGGCGGGACTCTTCATGGATCACTTTCTATTGGTGATATTTTTTACACGTTTCAAATTCAGTTTCATACATGATTTATTGCTTGGAAAACACCAAAACATTACATACGACTCTTTTATAATAAAGTAAAATCCAACCCTACAGGGTGTAATCGCTAATTTAATAACGTATTTAATTAACTATATTTTGGATAAGTTGCAGGAAAATATGGGTAATATCTTCATTCATTGCAGTTTTGCGTGGATTAAATGATAAAGGTCTGCATTCTTTTGAAAAAAGAATGATTATTAGCTATGGCCCTGGAGTATATAACAACCATTTTGAATACTGGTCCTCTAATTATTTCCTTCATTGAAACTTACGAAAAAAGTTTAGTACGCTGCGTTTATATATACATTAAAGTTCGTGTAATATGAAAAGTTTAGGTTGGTCATGCATTGTGTGAGCTTGAATAATCCTTAACAGTTAACCCATTGAGTAGCATTGTGCCCTGATGCACCCCACTTTGATTATTTTACTCTGTCTAACGCCAGATTATTTTACTCTGTTTAACGCCAGACTATTTTTCTCATCAAGGGGAAAGTGCTGTCGCTTATGGGTTAATTAACAGTGTAAATTGAAACATATTCACATATGACTCATGACCCACCCCTAATGTAGTGCACAATTTTCTCTGGTCCACCCTTTTTTGCAAGCATGAAAATGGTGCCCCCCCTTTTTCTCCAGCCCCCCCCCCTATACTTTATGACTGGTCCCTAACTATCAAGAATTGTTTTTAAATATATAAATTTCGCGACCGCTATTCTATAGGATTTTCATAAACATTCATATGTTGTATAAATTATATGCTCTTTCATTTGGTTACTTACACGCAGAGACTTACACGTAAGTAGTGCAAGCCTATAAACAAGCGACAATCCGTCTCAAAATGGACTATGTCACAGAATGAGGATCTGACTCGCCTCGGCGGCTCGTGCAATTTTGGCACATTTTTCAAATATCACTCGTAGTGTTAATCATTAGTGTGCTGAAGCAACCCGCGTTTTTCTCAACACGGACGTCACCTGAAAATTGGTATGACTAATTTTGACGGTATTTTGCATCATAGCGCTCGTGTAAGGACGCAAAAAACTTCAACTAAAATCTTATGTTTTGTTACATGTGATGAAGATTACTACAAACTGATACAAACACAGTTTTTAGTCAGTCCCCCATCGGCAATCTGACGCAGGGCATTTTTTAACTATATAACTGGGGAGGCCAAAGCCCCCCCCCCAGCCCTCATGGTGCCCCCCACTCAACAATTTTGCCCCCCCCCGCGCCAGTTAAAGTCCCTTTTCTCTAAAATGTAAGCAAAATATGGAATTTAGAAGGGAGGTTTAATATTCCAGTAACTGAAATTTGCTTTGTGAATCTTATGTCCTGCTAAACATTGTGTTGTAATTACCTTATTAGAATTTAAACATTTTCCAGTGGATTATAAGTGGAACCAAGAGTTTTGTAAGGGGGGGGGGGGATAATTTTGGCCCCCGCAAAAAAAACCCAATTGATTTTGAAACTAGAAGTATATATATATATAATCAAATATCTGTAATCGATATATTGATAACAACATTTCTCGTGGATAGCATAGACTCACAAATCATAATGAACGAATTAATGAAAGGGACCAACAAAAGACGTAGAGAAGACTTTGAAAATGCCGTTTCCGACGATTTAGAGACGCAAAATTTTCAAAATTTTTCCGCTCTGTGCCAACCATGGTCGCGCTTCGTGGCAGTCAGGCCTTCTCCGCTCCCTGAGTGACGGCCAAGTTGTGGTATCTACATAAACATACTATGCAAGTACTTAACTGAAGGTTCAGTCTATCTACAGCATAACGTAATGCTGTATATCCTAAAATCTGTTTCAGAAAATGCAGGCAATTGCAGTCATAAAGGTAGAAAAATACAAAAATTTTCTGGGATACTATATATTAAATGCGATACTACACCAAACTTTTTGTTACCAACAAACCATCTATCATTTCTCCCACTCGGCATAGTATGGTCCCTTTTTCTAAATCCCCCCCCCTCGCCACTCACAAATTCTTAAAAAATGCCTTGATCTGACGTCCATGTTGAAAAAAACGTCGTTTGCTTAAGCTAGCTATTAATGGCACTCCTTCCCCTGTGATTACCTCTACAAAGTATACATTATCATTGAGAGACACCACTCTGGAGACACCGGAGGCACATTAGCTTTATCTCAACCACCCAATGAAAAATAGTTTTAGCTCCAGTGGGGCGGTACTGTGGAACACCCTTCCAGCCGAGATACGACAAGCTAACACTTTACCTAAATTCAAGTCTGACTGCAGCAACTTCATACGATCATTTTCAAACTTTATATTAGCAATTGCACGGCACTCATAGAAAACAGGTATTTTTATAAATGGATACAAAATTTGTAATATGCAACTTTTATTCTATTCTATAATTGGCGTGTAAAATCCTGATGAGTTCACCGTGGTTCAATGAAGTTCACTTACTTATTCACCCAGCGTTCCATCGCATTCAATGCCGCGGCCTAACTCACTTCGCCATCTGGCTTGAATAAAAGATAAAAATCAGAATCGTCCGCATATACATGAACATCTGGAAGATGATTCACAAAATTTTCAGTTACAGCCACAATTGTGAAAACAAGCTGCTTTCTCAAGTCCTAGGTTTTCTAAAGCCATATCTAATCTAAGACAGATGAAGTATGGCCCTGACGCTTCCACTTTCTTCTTGGAATTTCTTTCTTCTTCTCTCTCCATTTCCTTCTCCGAAATGTCGCTCTCACTTTCTTCCTGAAAAACAACCCATTCTTCTTCACATTCCAATTTATCTTTATCCTGCCATCCATCTTCACTTTTTTCATCCTTACATTCAGCCTCAGAACACTCAGATGTAGTTTCATTCTCATCCTCCATTTCCTGTTTAGACTCAGACTCGTCTTCATCAACACTGCAAGAACTCGCTGACTCGTGCTCTTCTGGTAAGAAAAGCTCATCCACTTCGCAAACCCCATAGGCAAACACCTGTTTCTGGTTATTATTGTCATGAAAGAAAACGAGAGAACCCGAGTCACTGCCTTCCAAGAATGGACCACTACATCCCTTAACGACAAATGCATCCTGGAATAATGGCCCTTGTTCTTGGCTGTAACTAAAATCACAAGGAACAATATGGCCATGAGTTAACGCCGACGTAAAACCGATTTTCTCCACTTCCACTGGATTACTATCACTCTCATACAATTCACCCATATACTATCCCAATCTGGAGAAGTTGCATCCGCTATTTTGCAATCAATTTTAATGCCATCCAAAACTTTTAGAGACAAAATGTCACATTCGTTGTCAAAATGATAATTGTCAAAACCACCAAGAGGCGTGCGGTCCGTTCCATTGTCTCCAAATAAGATGGGCTCATTGTCGTTCTCTGTATTGCCTTGTGTAAAATAATATTGCTGTTTCTTTGCATAACTTTCATAAGCTGGAAGTGAATTGCGCATCTTCTGAACATCTTCTACTTTATTGAATGCGGCGTTTCAACAACCGCGTTGCACAACCAACATGAAAGCAAGTGAGTGCATAATGTTGTCCACTGAGGGCGCAAAACATGGTTAAAGTCCCAGTTCCCTGGAGATGAGGTACATCATCTTTCTCGTTTTCCTCAGCCACTCGTAAAGGGTTTTTATTGTTATAACTGGGGTTACTGCAAGCTAATACACCACCACCAGGTGTCGGTGAGACAGAAGATGATTTACATCTCAATTTACTTGAAAAGAGACCCAAATATTTAATTTTTGATTTTCTTTCACGTTCTTGAAGGAGTTCAAAGTGTTCCTTAGCATCGTCACACTTGAATTTCTCTTCAAGTTCATGTCGTACAAACGATATCTTCACTCTTCTTTTAACTGTGAGGTACAAATGTGGACGAGGGATCTTTTTGTTTCAACCAACCAGCCCATACGCTCCACACAACCAAGGAAAACTATACAGAAGCAATGCCATATTAATAATGTAAAAACATGTATGTTATAGGGACGGGCAAGGGTGCATATATGATTCATTCAGTCATGTCAGGGAATGATGTTTGTGATGTTACTCTGAATGTCCATCCACCGGCCAATTAAGCTGAAAAGTTTGCCTGACCACGGTGGGAATCGAACCCGCGACCTTTGGGATACTAGTAGAAAGTATCATAACAGGGAATTTTACCAGGATACAAGTAAAAAGTATGATATCAGGGAATGTTATCATATCAGGGAATGTTACCACAAAAAGTATCATATCAGGGAATATTACCACAAAAAGTATCATATCAGGGAATGTTACCACAAAAAATATCATATCAGGGAATGTTATCATATCAGGGAATGTTACCACAAAAAGTATCATATCAGGGAATGTTATCATATCAGGGAATGTTATTATATCAGGGAATGTTACCACAAAAAGTATCATATCAGGGAAAGTTATCATATCAGGAAATGTTACCACAAAAAGTATCATATCAGGGAATGTTACCACAAAAAGTATCATATCAGGGAATGTTACCACAAAAAGTATCATATCAGGGAATCTTACCAGTATAACAGAAAAGTGTTCAGAAGTATTATAGAAACTACCACGTGAGAATTAAATTGTATCTGAATTAATTAAAAACGTGGAATTAACCTCAAATTATTAAAGAGCCATTAGATTCTGTGGTTTTCTGATGGATGTAAATGAGTAGATGAGTTATGAATGTTCTGAGTATATGTACCCTCATCTCAACATTCATAACTCATTCACTCGTTCACATCCATCAGAAGAAGAAAATCGCACTTAAAATCGCAGCAAAAATTTGCGAATCTAAAAGGGGCCTTTAGGAATCGAAATTCACCAAATGTGTAGAATTTCTGAAATGGCAATAGTTTAGTTTTACCACGCGAAATTCAAAAGTTTAATAGTTTTTGCGCCGCGCGAAATTCAAAAGATTAAAACGCGTTTTGAGTTCATGGGCGAGAACATTGTTATGTGTTTTATTAATGGTCCAAATATCAGAAAATTTGCTCTTAAGTTCTTCAAATAGCTGCTGAAACTTTCATTTTTTGGCACCAATGCCTTTCACGCATGCTTAAATCATGCATTTACCTAATTTGCATTTTGTGATTGTAAAAACATTATGGGCCATTAATACAACACATAACAAATTTTTCGCCCATGAACTCAAAATATGTTTCAATCTTTCAAATTTTGCGCGCAAGCTATATTTAATGCTGCTAAAAAAAGATATCCCCATCCCCTGCTCTGGAAAATTTATCTTTACGAAATTGCTTTGTTTATTCTACATTATACCCAATCAATCTATATTTATCAAAAATTTCATGACACGAACAGAATTGAGAAATTGAGAGCCGGCGGTTTCAAAATTGTCTACTTTTTCTGATACACCCTGTAGATAGAAAGATAGATGGTTTATTTCATAAAAACATTGCAGCCAATAGGCTGAATTACGCTTATATTTACAAGTTAAGAAAATATTAAACTACTATACACTATCTCTAAAAGGATCCAAGAATATATAATATTATACACTAACTAAGAATATTAATATAAGAATATTAACAATATGAAATTGGTCGAAGACCCGTACTCAGGAAATAAAATAACAACATAAAACGCTCACTGAGTTTCCAGCGATATGCATACCCTTTTCTAGATATATACCTAATAATAATAAACGAACGAACGAAAAGTATTCCTTCCACTCGTGAGCTCATTTACCATTGTCACATATAGTAAATGTCCAGGCCTTGTGACCCTGGATGGGCACTTAAAAGGAAAGAATACACACACACAAAGGTTTATTTATTCAACCATTACGGGAGAACGATTGAACAACTGCGCATGAACGAACGTTCAAAGTGAATGCCACTTGTTATTAGGTATATATCTAGAAAAGGGTATGTATATCGCTGGAAACTCAGTGAGCGTTTTATGTTGTTATAAGAATATTAATTTAAGAATATTAAAATACTATACACAACTGTCTCTAAAAGGATCTAAGAATATTGACATATTCGTGGTCGTAGTTAATTAATTTTATAATTAGGTGCTATTGCTTTTAATCATATAGAAGTCATAAAATTATATTAGGCATAACTAAATGATTTTTTCAAATTAAATGAAATTACCATAAATATTAAGTGCACAAAATTAATAACATTTTGGCTATGCCAAATATAACGGCCAAATAAAAGCTGATGTGTTTGTACAGACAGATAAATAACATGGTAATTTGGGATATTGATTGTGGTATTTTAGTTAGTTAATTTTGTAATTTATTATGTGTGATCTATTCCTTTTGCTAAATGGTAATATTGATTTCCATTCAGTAGTGCTATCTCGACAACAACATCATCCCTTTGCATGGTATCTTTAAGAATCTTCTTAAGAGCCCCCCACATTATTTTCTTGATTTGATGATCCCCACTTACCGAGTATCACTTCGGCAGTCCCCGATCCTCCCTTTACTTCGTATGTTATTTTAATACCTGCAGCCATTGTTTGTTCGAGGCTACCTAAAGCGTTCATAAGTGGTTTCTTGCTGCAATAAGCTAACTCGAGTAGTTTGCAAATTTCGTCAAAACAACCAATTTCGATTTTACCAATGGGCCATTTCTCTCGGTCACTTGAAAGCTGTGTTTCGTCTTTTGAAGCACAAGAACTACACATAAGGCTTTCTTTCGATGACATTCATCGGCGATTTGTGTGTGATCTTCCTCGCTTCTTCTTTTTTTTCTTTGATGGTTTTTGTGAATCAACGGTGTCTATAATAAAAGACAAGATAGACTTTCTTCAGAAATTATTATATTTCAAAAGGTTGGTAAACCAGGTAACATTGTTTCCTAGCCATGTTTCCCGAAGGTGGGTAAACCAGGTAACTTTGTTTCCTAGCCATGTTTCCCGAAGGTGGGTAAACCAGGAAGCATTGTTTCCTAGCCATGTTTCCTTAAGGTGGGCAAACCAGGAAACATTGTTTCCAAGCCATGTTTCTCGAAGGTAGACAAACCAGGAAACCTTGTTTCTTAGCCATGTTTCTCGAAGGTGGACAAACCAGGAAACATTGTTTCCAAGCCATGTTTCTCGAAGGTGGACAAACCAGGAAACATTGTTTCTTAGCTATGTTTCTCGAAGGTGGACAAACCAGGAAACATTGTTTCCAAGCTATGTTTCTCGAAGGTGAGCAAACCATGAAACATTTGTAGGGCCATTTATACGGAACAAAATAAGACGCGACTTACATAAGACGCGACTTAAGTAAGACGCGAGTTTGTCGTATAAAAGGTACAAAATTCTTATGTAAGACGACTCTTGGATAAGACGCGTCTTACATAAGAACAGGTCTTTTAGCTGTTCTTATTTAAGTCGCGTCTTAAATAACAAATTTTGGACAAAAAGTCTAACTACACATGCCAGAAACTTGAAACAACGTAAAATTTAATTCCTTGCATATTAAAACAAGAACAACCAAAACAACATTATAGCTATAGCAAATAAATAAGACCAAAGCCGTAGAGAACCATTTATGCGATAACTCCACTTATTTAAGTCGCGTCTTATGTAAGTCGTGACTTATTTTGTCACGTATAAATGGCCCTAATGTCTGCTACAGCCCTCTTCTCGAAAGTGGACAAACAAGAAACAATTGTTCCATTAGACAAATCACCGTGGAGAAACAAAATATGTTTCTGAATTTATTGGGAAATATGTTTGCTTTGTGAGAACTATTTCCAAAGCTGGACAAACAGCGAAACATTAAAAAAAACATCAAGATTTTCAAATGTTTCTAATTTACCTATAGTATAGGCTATTGCCTCGTAATAAACATACCTATAATCTATATGTAGTTGACCAAGTATTGCAAGAGCCGGAATAACCAGAGGCGAAACAAATGACAACTTAAGTTTGTAATACCCATTGCAAAAACTTTAACATTCCATATTTTCTATTCACAGGCATCCAAAGCTCACATGTGGTTGGGGTATATTTGTATTTTTATATTAGCTTCAGTATGACATATATTGTCAAAACATGCTAAAATATTGCATTAAATTGAGAAATAATGTTGCTTACCACTGCTATAATGTGTAAATGACTTTTCTGGGGTTATTTTCAATCCGCTTGAGATACGTATTTATAATATAGCATTTGTAAATTCTGAACGCTGATTGGATAAGAGCCGTGTTGATATAACTCAATGTCAACACGGGAAATTTTCCGCCGCTTGTAAACATGGAAATTTTTCTTATCCTTCGGGCTTTTGACATTGCTATATTATAAAAAAAATATAAAACATTTTTTCCGTATTGATATATAGTTATATCAACACTCGTGGAAGTTGGGAAAACTCGAAATTGTATGAAAACACTCCGCCCTTTGGGCGTCGTGTTTCCATACAATTTCTAGTTTTCCCAATTCCAACTGGTGTTGATATAATTGTATATCAACACGGAAAATGTTTTATATTTGTTAAATAAATGATACGTCATAAGTATCTCATGCATGTATGTGTCAACTGTATGTTTGTGTAACTATGCAATTATTCTCCTTGTTCGAAGTTGTAATTTCAGAGGTTACTGAATGAAACCTTTCAGATATCTGTACTTTATTTACTTCATTTTAATGACTAAGTACACCTGGAGTCTAAAGGTCACTCATCAGTTTGCATTGCGCACTTTTACTGCGCATATCTAATAACAAGTTCCAGCTAATATATGTAGTCGAACTGCAATGCGAAGTGATAAAGAAAGAGTAAGGGCAAAGAGAAAAACACTCTGCATTGATTAGGCGTGCTTCAGGAAATATTTCTTCAAAAATGACAGAACTCTGGCTAGGGTTCCTGTTAAACTAATATTGTAAACCACATCATGCTGTATGTTTAACCCTTGCATCTCTTCAAAAAGGTCCATGACCCCACTTTCTTATTTTCCATTTTTGTTTTTCCATACGTTTGTTACGGAACACTCTCTTATACATAAAATTTTAGATAAAAAATAAAATATAAGATGATGTTTGCTTGAGAGCAGGTAAAATGTTCGTGCAAGCAAATATTATCCTAAGCATAATGAAAGGAGATAATGGATATTTTGCCACAAGTCAAAGGAAAGTAATAATAATAATAATAACAACTTTATTTAAATGTCAAAAAAATGATAGCAGTATAAAACCACTAAGTAAGGACACTATCTACATAAATAAATAACTAATTTCTAGGTAGGTAAATTCCTACAGCTAAAATATTTACAATATGTACTACATACTGAGTAGTTCCTACAGTCATCACTAGCCATTAAAGTCTCTAAATCTAATTTTCTAATTTCTCTTTTAAATAATTTTAATGACTGAATTGTTCTTATGTTTAGAGAATATTTACCGTTGTTCTTAAGAGAATATTTACCGTAGTTCGCTGTATCAAATCTAGAGATACAAAATTCCTTTACTCTTAGGTTACATACTGTTGAGTTTCTGGAAAACATGTCTAACATGTAAGTTGGGCAGATCTTAGATTTGACCTTATACATGATGGTCGCAATATCTTGCAGTCTTCTATTTAATAAGGTACCAGGTAGCTTAGCCCATTCTAATAACTGCTTATAAGAAGTGTTCCAGTCAGAATATTTCGGTCATTCGGAAAACATTCATTATTTCTTCCATTGGGCTATGACAGTTTGTTAGACTAGCTGCCATTGTGTATGTGAAGATGTCATGTTGTGATTGACCTGTTTCCTATAGTTTATCTTGTGGGCAGATTTGTTTAAAAACAGCAGCTGCCTGAGGTCTCATGAACATTGGCCTTTCACGTGGACAGGCTCTAGGCTTAAAAATGAATCATCCCAAACTACACACGTAAAACGCACAAGTTGTAACAAACCTGCAGCAGACTTGTAGCAATGCTGTTCCAACAACTTTTCAACAGGATGTGTTCGCACTGCTTGTTCACAGCTTGTTGACAAGTAACTCGCTACAAGGTTGTTAAGTTCAACAGACTTGTTACAAGTTGTTCCAGCAACTTGTTATCGTCCTGGGGCCGGTTGTATAAAAAAGTGATTAAAGTTAATCATAGTTAAATGGAAATGTCATCCAATAAGAAGCGCCTATTTGAGAGTTAATCACTATTTAACTACAAAATAGTGATTAAAAAGTGATTAAGAGTTTTATACAACCGGTCCCTGCAATTCAACAACTTTTCAAAAAGTTGTGAGTGATAACTTTATAGCAACTTGCTAAAATAACAGCATTGTTACAACTTGATGACAAGCTTGCTACAAGCCTGTTGCGAAAGCAACTTGCTAAAATAACAGCATTGAAGCATTGCATTGTTACAACTTGATGACAAGCTTGCTACAAGCCTGTTGCGAACACATCTTGTTGACAAGTTTGCTACAAGCCTGTTGCGAACACATCTTGTTGACAAGTTGTGAGATTTTTACGTGTGTAGATAACACTCGGTCATTAAATATTAAAATCAATTAAAATATTACGTCATCAAAAGCGTAGTGAGATTTTTACGTGTGTAGATAACACTCGGTCATTAAATATTAAAATCAATTAAAATATTACGTCATCAAAAGCGTAGTTCCCTTTAATAAATAGGTAATATAAATTCGTAAAATATGGTTTATATACTTATAGTTTGAACATTTTCCTATAAGATGAATTTAAGTTAGTTAAGAACATTCTTAAATTTGATCAACCGAGCATATAACCGACTTGAGAAGTACGGCGACGCCTTGAATAAACAAAGATAGAGAGCTGGTGCAAGAGTTCCAAAGTACACCACCTCGGTGCTGATTGGTTGGACTTGAATCACCCCACTTTCGTAGTCACATGCGCAAGGTTCCCCTCGATCGTTAGTATAAAAGGAGGTGGCCAGCTCAACTAGCTGGGAATGCAGAACTAACAGTGGATGCAAAGTCAAGCAGAACTCAGAATAAAAACAGAAGAACGAAACTCAGAATGAAGAAGAATGAATGAACAATTAGAACCGTAACAAATGATGAACCTGTAACGATTCACTACCTAAATAAAGCCTCGTAACATGTTTTACACGTCATTTCAGAAAATAAGAGATAAATCATTTCTACAACTTATAATACAGTAAAAACCCCGCATATAAGAACCTAGATTTTCGAAGTTAGCCTAAACAGGTTCTTATCTGTAAATGGTGCTTACCAGGAAATTAGGCTAAACAGGTTCTTAAATAAGTTCTCATTTTCTTAACAGAAAAGCCACTCATTTTAGGGAGGTATGGTATATGATTTGTGTAAATTGTACACAAATAATCTAAAAAATGACGGTATATGCACCATACCAACTATAGAGCGTTAAAGCTACACTGATTGTGACTTATGACTTAATTTTGACTCTATCTGATATAAGAATCAGTTTTGAAATTCTAACCTGAGCAGGTTTTTATTTAAAGGGGGTCTAAATAAAATAGTTTAGCCTAACAGGTTCTTAAATTCTAGGTTCTTATATGCGGAGTTTTATTGTATTTTACCTTTGTCGCGCATAATAACATGTCTGAGAAGATTGGAAAGACATGTTTGCACCACGACAATGCACGTCAATGGTTTTTGATTCGCTAAAATACTATCTTTTCTTGTATATAATCACTAGATAGACATTTTTAATAGGATCCTTGTTAAAAAATTCAGTAACGGTTGTGCAATTGCTATTGTTCCTGTAAATGGTAAAAGGGTCAAGATGGCGCCATATTGGGGAAAAGGTGGCATATTGCACTTGTCATATCTTCGAAAACGAGTTCGATGACCCCAACTTTTTTTCTGTTTTATTATGAGCATATCATAAACTTCACTCCTATAAGAAGTTTCAGCAAATTCTCATTTCCACAACAATTACCGATGAATCCACCTTAAGTCGCAACAGTTCAAGTACGCGGCAATAACCAGGTACGTTTACACACAATGATTAATTGGCCCGATTCCGCTTTAAATAAACGATATTTGAAAAATACGCTGTCAACGCACTGATATCAACGTCATCTAACGACATCGCCAACTGACAACATTCGTCAATAACATTCGTCAATAACAAACCTGAAATCGTCGCGATTAACCGTTGTGTGTAAACGTAGCTTTAAGCTACGTTTGCACGCTGCGATTTGTCGTGTACGATTCGTATTCTGGGGCTAAATTTGAAATTTCATTTCAACGAAACGGCAATGAATTATAGCGCCAGCACTCATTTTAATACGCCAAAATACGAATCGTACATGACAAATCGTAGCGTACGTGTAAAGCCCAGGTCACACTACACAACGATAACGATACGATAACTTGTATACGCGCGCTGATTGGTAAAAAATTTATCGTTATCGTCAGACTGAAAAAAAAATCGCTCAGGTGAGCGATTTTAAAATCGTTATCGTCTAACGATAATTTTATCATTTTCGTTGTTGCGTGGTCACTAACACAATTTTTTCGGCAATTATCGCGTGTTTACAATTTATCGTATCGTTATCGTTGTGTAGTGTGACCGGGCCTTAAACGTAGCTTAAAGGTCCATACACACAGGACGCGATTTAGCAACGTGACGCGAACTTTCAGCTTTCAATGACATTTAGCTTTAATATTTTTCAATGTTTTTCAAATATTCGGAACTACTTAAGCAATTTTAGCTATTTGGTCTGCATATCTTGTAAATTTTTTATCCGTTGGTGTTGACGGTTTTATTTGTTTTTGAAAACTAAAAATTCGCGTCGCGTTGCCGAATCGCGTCCAGTCTGTGTCGATGAAAACGTGTGGAGTCGGTATAACAGAATAGCTACCTTCTGCGTTGTAGTGACGCCAGTCTTTTAGCACAACAGGATATTGAAACATATTATATACAACAGACGCCGCTATTGCGCTGGCAAATGGCTGCCAAAGTTTTGTTTTCTCTTTACTTCCGTCAGCAAAATCCGACACTGCTTTAATTACAGCCCATTCTATGCCAAGATCATACACAGCAGCATGTAGACCTAAAATTTAAGCACAAAAATCGTGTGTTCATGTCAGGCATAACACTAACCCATTTTGCAGTAATAGCGCATCAAGCCCAATCATGTTTTGGGTTAAAAATCTCAGTTAATTTCTGTTCAGTATTAAAGACACTAGAAATCCCCCATTAAAGAGAAATGACAATATAGTTTTTCTTTTCTCATTTGAAAAAACTTTTAGGAATATACGTAATACTCTTTTACCGTTTTTTTCCATATCTTGCTTACTTCTACAAAATATTTTGATCGAAAGGAATGAAATGTCCGCCATCTTCAATTTTTGTAGATATGCATGTCACGTCACAACAGGGGTCACGCGATATTTTTATCTAGACAACCACTAATCATTTTGCACTCAAAACTATACTCCGTCGGCCCTTCGCAATACTGAAGATCACTCAAAACCTTTAAAACATGTATCAATCAATATTTGGTTAGCAACGAATACTTTTATGTAGTTTATCCCTGTTGTGACAGGAAGAGATTATTTCGCTGGCCTCAGAGTGACAAAACGTAACAAAGCAACGGTTTTATTAATACTAACACTAACCCTATTCCAAACACCACCTCTAACCCTAATCCTCAAGTACAAAGTTGGAGTAGGGTTAGGTCAAGGTCCTTGACCTAACCCTAACCTAACCTAACCCTACTCCAAGTTTGTTTCTAAACCAATCTTGAAGAAAATATTTTGACAAAATGTCATTCTGAGGTCAACGAAATAACTTCTTCCGTTGTGACGTCACCAAAACTACCGTTAATGAGATCAAAAATTTATCCAAGATGGCGGACATCTCATTACTTCAAGTGAAATTATTTCAAGAACTAAGCAAGATATGAACAATCGGTAAAAGAAGTTAATATATAGTTACAAAAGTTCTTTCAAATGAGAAAATAAAAATTTTACAACTTATTACTTATTTTTATTTCTCAAGGATTTATACAAAAGGTTAATTTAATTTAATTTGCAACGTTTCGGACATTTTAAATGTCCGTCTTCAGGCGACAATTGTTGTTAATTGTTGTTAAAATAAGTTAATATTAACAACAATTGTCGTCTGAAGACGGACATTTAAAATGTCCGAAACGTTGCAAATTAAATTAAATTAACCTTTTGTATAAATCCTTGAGAAATAAAAATAAGTAATAAGTTACGAACAACAAAGGTGAAAGTTTTAGAAACAAGATTAAAAATTTTATATTGACATTTTCCTTTAAGTTCCCTCCCCCTCTGGAATTTGTTTTAACAGGTTGACAGATTGATACACCATTCGAAGCCTAATTGGTGTGGAAGGCTTGAATGACACGGGAAGTTCCTACCTGCACCCTCCATTTCAAGACCAAGTGCGTCCGGGAACGAATCCAGTAACTCTTGTCCTCTTTCACGATTATTAACTAAATCCGAGCCACTTAACATCACAGCATCAGGGTGAACTTCAACGTCTAAACTTTTCGGGTCTTTTAACGGTGGTTTCCAACCATGAGCTGCATTGATTATAAGACGAGACATATTTTTACTAACGTTCGATTTAGTCCCGCGATACTCAACTGTACCATCTGCCTTGAATTTCTTATCATCATAAGTCGCCAGTTTGGCAGAAATCACGACATCGCCAAGTTTTGCCTTCGCCCGTTCCATGCTTGCACAGATCCCGACAAAGAGGACTACTTTTGGGTGTAAAATTTCAGCGGCATTTCTCACTGCTATCACAGCCTCAATCGGTCCCTGCCAAGATTTCATCAATGCAACTCTCACATTCGGGTTATTCTGATCACCAAATCGACCAAAATCTACCATTCCCAGTTTCGTAGAATAACCTCGTTGAACATGTTTCATATATGAATAGCAAGCATTGAATTCATGATCATTTGCTGTTATTAGCAGAATATCTGTTGGTAGTTGCGACTGAATCTCATTGCTTGAACAGTCATATGGTTCACTATCAAAATCACTCGCTGTCGGGAGTGTGAAATTGAGTTCTGGTGGTGGTGCTATACGATCATTGCCTTAACAAAACATGATGATACAAATTACAAAGGCTCCTCGTTGTACAAAGTTTTAATACAATTAACAACGATGATTCATCGTTGTATTCTCGGATTGCATGTGGGGGGGGGGGGGGGGTCAAGAAATTTATTTTAGATACACGCATAAAAATCTCACATCTTGTAACAAGTCTGCCAACAAGCCGTCAACAAGTTTGGAACAACTTGTTGACAACTTGTAACAACCGTGTCGAAATTATCAGACTTGTTGCAAGGTTGTTCTGACAAGTCCGTTACATGCTTGATATAACAAGATTGTTACAACTTTGTGTTGACAACCTTGTAACATCCTTGTTGTATCATGGCTGTAACAAAGTTGTTAGCACAGCCTTGTAACAAGGCTGATAATGCCATAAAGCTTGTTACAAGTTGTTAAGAGCTTGTTCCAAACTTGTTACAACAAACTGGGAACAATCAGTACGAAGGCAACTTGTTGACAGCTTGTGAACAGACTTGTAACAACTTGTTTGCAGGCTTGTTACAAGCTGTGCGTTTTTACGCGTACAGCAGGATTATTGGATTATTGGATTATGATTATTGGATTATTGTACATACAGGATTATTGTTATCAAAAAAATCTTTACATTCTCGAACACAGAGTCTTTGTTTTGAATCCAGTTTCTTCTTTTTCGAGTCTGGGTTTTCAAAAGTACACGAGTCCGGATATTTTTCGAGTTGGGTTCCGGGCTTTTTCTCAAATCCTGATTTTCTTAGAGTCCGGGTTTCGAAGTATGCCCTGTGTTAGGGATAAAGCTTTTATATTGTTTTATATTGGCTTTTTGGCACACCTATTCTTGCAGGTTTTGACCATTAATTATGTTTTGACCGAGTTATGTATGGTCGACAATGGGACAATTTCGATTTTCGGATGTCGGATGTCTCATGACTCACTCGCGAACATCTCAATTCGGTAATCTCCAAATCGGTCCTACTAAATACTGCCCAGAGAGCCCTGGAGCGCGAGAACGCCCGGGGATATTCAAGATAGTATAATACTATTTTTCATTAATATAATGCCTCATAAAGACTCAAAAAGGATCGTGCACTGATTTATGCTATCTTGTATATCCCCGGCCGTCCTCACGCGCTTCCTGGCGCTTCCAGGCGTCCCCGGGCAGTATTTAGTAGGACCCGATGTGGCATGCTTTATATTGGAGAAACTGGAAGACATTTGATTAATGAACGTTTTTCCAATGTTTAACTCTATCTGTCTTTACCTGTCTAAAGCAGACACACTTTTAATGCTTGCCTTGTTCCCTAATTCTTTCATATATTTTGTCGTATTTGCTGTGTTTTCTGCGGTATAATTGAATTAATATATTCTGTAATGTGATTTACATTTTTTGTTTATACTTTGTTTTAACTAAATCCATCTGATTGGTTTATTTTGATCGCTTTTATATTCTTAGTATAAAAGCTCATGTAATTTTCCCTACCCCCGCTAATAACTCCAGACGAAGGGCCTTCGCTCAAAACGTCGAAATTCTCCTTATATATTTTAGGTAGTTACATCCCTACCAACGAAAGCTTGTATCGTAAATTTGGCGCTGCCTACCCTGGCAAAGAAACTTCAAGATTATATTTGAAAAATATGCTGTCAACGTCATCTGCATGACGACATCGTCAGCTGACAACATTCGTCATTAACATTCGGCAAAACCTGAAATCGTCCCGATAGATCGTTGTGTGAACGCATAGACAGCCCCAAAATGCGTGGTATTTGTCTCTTTTATGTAGTCTCATAGCTTGGAAAGGTTTGAAAGCCCGCGCGTGAAAATCTTTCGCGCTCGCACGTGGCGCTCGGGCATGCATATACGAGTCTACTTTGTTTAAAGATTTTCACGCACGAGCTTTCAAACTAGCTTTTATGAATTATATTCAATAAAATGCTGCAAAAAATACTGATGAAAACACACACGGTACTTACAAAGTGTACACAGAAATATACGGTCTTCTAAAATCGGTGTATTGAAAAACGAGACCTTAATAAATAACTCCAAGCGTTAAGTACAAGCTTTTCCACTCTTGGGAATTTAAAATAGCTTCTAATCGTATGAATTAAAGAGCATAACTGCATCAAAATTTTCAATTACAAATTAGTCATACCCTTTGTTCAGCACATAACTCATATGTTGGACGAAACCAAATTAAACTTTTAATTTAAATAACTTCGTCATGCATAAAAAGGTACACACCCCTGAGTTCAGCATAGTAATAAGGCATTCAAATTCCAAAAAAGGCTTGATTTCAAAAAGTATACTTTTTTTCAGGACACCCTGTAACTATATGGTCTTCTAAAATCGGAAACATAAATTGCAAACTAATGTATAGACAACCGTAACCAAACAATTACCTGAGCTTGAAGCTTCACTTGAGGTTTCATTGGGCCATCCAAAGTTCGAGCTGTCTCCTACCATAGCTGCATCAGGCACTTGAAAAACGGATGAAACAATTATACATACGGGATATAAGGCTGCGCAAATTAAGATATGGACTTTGATTTCGCGTTGAGTTTGACGTCTGCATTGCTTGATCGCGGAAATCACATGATATAGTTAGTCATTATATAAGATTCACTTTCTTCCTTGGCAACAAACCACAACCTGTACCTGTGTTTGTTGGTTCATCGTCATCTTTGTTTTTCAAAGCAATCATATCGACAGATTTACCACGCTTTTTCAGTCTTCGAACTTTGTTGGCTTTTTTGTTATAAAAGGGGAAAAACAAAAAATGAAGATTTTGATAGTTGCCTACAACCAAGCAAAGTTATGGTACTAATAATTATAACAACAATAACAATAAAGACGAGGACAGGGATAAGGATGACATCAGAGTGCGATAATTCGCGTACTTACGTACCGGAAGTACACCAATATTACGGTCTGGTACTTCTTTGTTTTCAACCATGCAAGTACCACGTACATGTAGGTACGCGAAACTCTTGCTATCTGCGTACTTACATTTTGCTGGTACCACATGACCTTTCCAAACCCAAAGTGTTCAAAACCGCAATTTAAGTTTGTATGTGCAACTCTCACATATCTTGGCATGAAACATGATTGCACCGATGGGACGAAGGAATGTTGGAGTCAACTGTATGTTTGTGTAACTATACGTAATTGCTCTCCTTGTTCTAACTGGTAGTTTTGATTGAATACCTTTCAGAGTACTTTATTAACTTCATTTTAATGCCTAAGTGCACCTTGAGTCTTAAGTCAGTTCAAGTACGTGGCAATAACCATTAGAGTGCCAGTCAGGTACGAATTATCGCACCCTGGATGAAAATAAAAAAATAAAAAAGAGAATAAGAACAACGATATGGTGAACGATAGCACTAAAGATTACAATAAGGATGAGGATAAGAACGAAGATAAGACAGACGTACACACACACACACACACACACACACACACACACACACACAAACACACACACACACACACACACACACAAACACACACACACACACACACACACACACACAAACCATAGTCCATCAACAAATAAAAACACAACTTCCTGGCGGAGATAATAATAGTGATGATTATTATATTAACTGATTCATACCGTTCATAGATCCTTTGGGATACGAGTCGCCTGTCAATTGAGAACCTGTCAATAATTAAAAAATTCCATATTACAACAAAAAACATGCCTACAAAACATGGATACAGTGTACATGCGGAAAAAATTATCTACAATGCTTATAACTAAAAATTCCTATCGACTGCAACCAAGACAGGCAAACTGATATAGGTTCGCTCAATCGTTTAATACCTCTTCAAAAAGCCATAGAAAAAACGCAACAGCTTAAAGTCCTAAAAACTAAAGCTTAGGTACTACCAGCTTTTATGAATTATATTCAATTACACACGGTACCTATACAAAGTGTGCACAGAAATATATGGTCTTCCAAAACGAATACGTAAATTGCAAACTAATGTATAGTCAAAGTCTAACTGTAATCAAACAGTTACCTGAGCTTGAAGCTTCACTTGGGGTTTCATTTGGCATTCCAAGGTTCGATATGTCCTCTACCATAGCTGCATCGGGCACTTGAAACAATTAAACATAGGGGATATAAGGCTGTGAGAATTGAGATATGGATTCTATGGTATTTCGAGTAGTGCAAATAATACTTTATGAATAAGCATAGCGAATGAGTAAAATATTGCGTCACCACGAGAATATAAAACCATGTATCAGTTAATAAAACAAACAGAAAACGAAACAGCACTCATTCTGGCCAGTTCTGTCTGCATCGACGTCTTCACTAGTAAAGACATCACAAAATATCTCACTGATATTCCGTGATGTCTTTAAGAGTACGTATAAGCTTATCAGCAGATGGACTCAGAAATTATCAACTAATCAGATTGCAGAAACTGAGCCTGATTAAAAAAGGAGATATCACAACTCATCAAGGCATTTTTTTAATACCATGGACTGGTGGGTCATTTGCCCCACTTGTGCCTGCGGCACTCGCCTCAAACCTTCGGCTATCATATACTATCCTGGGGGGAGGGCAAGGAAAATAGGTCCTTTGGCAGTTTTGCCCCACCACTGAAGAATCCTTAAAAAATGCTCTGCTTAACTCATATTTAATAATTAGACAACTTATCTAATTGTTAAATAGTACTTCAAAAACTCATTAATAATTCATGAAGAAACACAAAGAAAAATCATAGGCGTGTCGTATCTTTATATGTGATAAAGATGTCCCTTGATCTACATAAACTTTAACTTTGATTTTCTCGACTTACACAACGTATTTTTTGAAAATTACTTCGCCAATGAACTTACTAGATCGATCGTTTTTGAAGCAATTTAAACATTCGCAGTGGGTGTTTTATCAGAGCTAAAGATACTCGGCTTCGTCTCGTATCTTTATATCTGATAAAACACTGCTGCTCGTATTTTAAATAGTAAAAAAACCCATTAAAAATACATTAAAAAATGCATAAAAAATACATTTCTACAGAAAATACATGTCAACTAAACATTTCAAAATTGGCAAAGTAAAAACGCCTTTAGTGTTAGTCACTTACCAGTACTAGCATTGAGCCAAATTGTTACACTCTTTATGTCAAATACTTTGGACCAGCGTTTGTCAGACCGGCAAATTGCAGGGGATTTATCGTTGTAGAATCTTTGAAGGTCACTAAGCTTCCAGAAGTGGCGGTGCCCACAACGGTCCGAATGACACTGGATCTCATGATGACGAGAACATCTTCTTTCTTCTTTACCAAAGCAGCAGGTACATTTCAGTTCGAAGTCATAGCTAGCTCGTCATGCTGAATAATAGTTGGTCTGAAGATTTAAGGTCGTCCAAACACTTTTTCAGAGTGGCAAAGAGATGACTGGCAAACTTGAAATGGTTGCCATCCTGTTTTGGAAAAACGACAACCTTAATAACCTCGTGGGAGTCGATTAAATAAACATCATACACGTCGCCGTCTATAATAAGCGGAAGCAAGGAGTAGTTTCAATAAAAGGAGGGCGTGGCTTGTTGATTGGGGAAGCGCTTTCCCACTCAGAAATTAACCTCACTTGAAGCTTCGTAAACAGGCCCATCGGTACAAGTTCGCGAGAAAATGTCACAAACAGCGATGGAACATTGCTAGCTTCCAACTCTTTTCCTGGTTTCATAGCTGGGGCAACTGAAGGGACATAAAAAGCTGCCTTTCCATCGTGAAGGCAAGGACATATCAAATTAAACATTTGCATAAGCTCTTCTAAAAGTTCTGCGTCTTCCAGCTTCTGAAGGTATTCTCGAAACAAAATGCCCTTCTGCTTGAACACATCAAGAGCGTGCCTGGACAATGCATCCAATTTGACAGGCATGGAGATCACTTTCGTAAAGCGATTCATTAGCCAGTGAGGATCCAATACAACCTTGCTGGATCCACTGTGGTGTACGACCACACCTTGACGGTGTAGAAATTTGATAGCTTGATCAAACTCCTGAACGTCACAGGCCTCCGCTTCCCGCTTAGCTTCGTCAACTGGGATATACTTGCAATCTGGTGATAGCTTCTGGCTTAGAGCAGCTTCAAAATCTAGCCACTTCACAGGCATTAAAATCTCCTGGTCAAGGACTGCATTCGAGAGGTCAAAAAGCTTTCTACGAAGTTTTCGCATGTCATCTCCATCGTCGCTTTCCAATGTATTGTCGATCCGGAAAAACTCTGGGACGACAATCTCATATTTTCCTTCATACAAGACCTTGTTGATTCTCTTTTGTACGCAATCTAATTTGCTGTCGTTGCCTTTCACCTTATCATTGTGAGTTAAGGCTATTAAAATTGGTGGCAGTTTAAAGTTCTCACCTTTTGCAGTGGTACAGTGACCAGATTTATCAGGAAACTGTTGATCTTGACATTCTCCTAAACCTTGCAAAAACTTCAGCCATGATGAAAAATTATCTAAATTGGTATTAAGATGAGGATTCTTCATTTCTATCTCTTCCTCTTCCTCACTTGTTTTAAACCTGGGAACGGCGGGTTTATCAAACTCCAGAGAAAGGTCGTGAACCAAAACGTAAGGACAATGCGGTTTCACAAAGCGGCCATGGGTATCGTAATAGATTGACTGTCCAGCAAAGTCACTTACAAATACCCGAAGAACTTCTTTCTGGTCGTGTTCAGTGGTCAAAATATTTTTAGCCTGCGATTTGATTTCTGAAATTTCTTCACTTAATAATTTTCTTCTCTTCGCTGGCTTCACTGGTTCTGGCGCATCCCCTTCAAAATACCCCTGAACTCCACTATGAATGTCAAGGATACTATCAATGTCAACGTCACTATCAATGTCACTATCAATGTCAAAGTCATTATCACTGTCTTCTAAAATCATCGGATCTCCTCTATCAAGGTACTCGACAGTTTTTTTGTATAACGCAGCCCTTGCCTCACTTTCACTGGTCATAAACTTCTTCACTTCTTTTTTGATCCAGGGATCTTCCGCATTTTGTTCTGATAGCTCGATAACATTAACGTCAATGCCAGTGGTACTGGGTTGATATTTGTTGAATGGTAATCCCAAAAGACGTCTCATCAGCGACGTCTTTCCGCCTCGGTCTTGCCCGACCAGCATAATCGGAATTCGATTATTTTTTGCTTTACCTTCTTGGAGAGCTTGCGAATATGCACGCCTATATTCTTTCTCTTCTAGACAAAATAAAGTTAAAACAAGATTTAGCACTATGTAAAATAAAACATAACCTCCACTAAACGGCCCTCTAGAAAGCGTCCCCTCCTGTACAATGTAAACGCCCGGCCCTAAACGTGTAAGAAATCACTCTGTATGTTCATTGTACATTTGTAATTCCATACCTACTATTTCAAGAGGATTATGTTCAGGTGACCTCTTAGTGCAAGTTGCCAATTGGTCCCTTTTGTTTTATCAATGTAATTATAAATTTCACGAGGGGTTCTGTTGTAGCTGTCTTGCCTAGATAGGGTAGCCTGAACTAAATTTTGGGGAGATGACAACATCAGGTTGTTTTGTACAAGCCATATACAGGTCCGCCTCCAAAAATATGCACCAACACCACTTTATTCAACAAATAGATTTCGAAAATTACTCCCGGAAAGGCTTTCCTGCTGCTAGAAGAGAATCGCTCATAAAGAAGTTAAAACTTAAAGTGCCTATGAAACGAAATGTTTGCCTCATTTTTTATTGTTTTGTTAAAGGATACTGCTCAAATGATGAAGAATGACCTTTACAGTTTATTCGTATCTCATCTCATTCCCAAGTTATCGCACTTTCTATATTTTGAGTTGTGACGTCATTAGTTGGACTCGAAATAGTGGCAATAACAAGAAAATCTGATATCTTGCTGAGTATTTAATAAAATTCAGTGAAACTTTGCACACAAAGTGGGCGCAACGAAGTGAACAATTTGGTTTGTTTATATGGTTGTTATAGCAACACACTCATCCCCAGTCCCTTCTCTTCCAATTTCTATATGATCCATTTCTAACAAAATAAATAACAATTTCTGCAATTATTGCTTATAACTATAATATGTCTAGGTGTTGTGATCAGTTTAAACCGTTATAGACTATCATATCAACTAACATTAATAATTCTTCTAGTGTTAACAATAACTTGCAAAATAGAAATCTTGTTCGTGTTCCTTTGTCCAACCCTGCCTCTCCAAACGCTTCCGCACTCTCGTGGTCACTCACGTCGAAAACCACTAATGATACGGCCTCAGCCCATTTAACAAAAAAGTCAGATAACAGCCTCAGTACCCTTCCAGGTCTCAAACTGGTCCACCTAAACATCCGCTCTCTGAAAAATAACGCCCATTTTTTAGAATTACGTAAGTTTACCAAATTTAACAAAATTGACGTCCTTACAGTATCAGAGACATGGTTAAATACCTCCGTCACAAACAAGGAAATAGAAATCGAAGGTTATAAGCTACATCGTTTAGACCGACTGCACAAGAAAGGGGGCGGGGTATGTGCTTACATACGAAAAGATATTAAATCTCTTGTACTTAAAGACCTCAGTTATATCTCCGAGACGAATTTCCATCAATTATGGATCAAATTACAGCACAAAAAATCTAAATCACTGTTGGTCTGTGTCTCTTATCGACCCCCAGACAGCCCGCTTGACTGCTTCGAAAAATATTTTAAACCTAATTATGTTCATGCTCTGACGATGGGAAAGTTGATCATTCTTCTTGGAGACCTAAACTGCGATATGCTTAAGCCCACACCTGGATCAGCGTCTTTGATCAAGACGACAAAAGAACTCAACCTTAACCAGTTAATAAAATCACCAACAAGAATTACTGAATCCAGTCAGACCCTCGTCGACGTTATTTTCGTATCCTCGCCAAGACTAGTAGTCAACAGCGGCGTCATAGAAACCTGTATCAGCGATCATTTCCCTGTGTATGTATCACTAAAACTTAAAACCGACAAATCTCCACCAAACTATGTCACTACCCGCAGCTACAATAAATACGACCCTGATTTGTTCGCGATCGATCTGGCATCCAACCGTGATCGTCTTGTTTCCATTTTCAGAATGGACAATGGTGATGAAAAACTAACCATTTTTAATGAAATATTTTTAAATACATTGGATAAACACGCCCCAGTAAAGACCATAAAAGTACGCGGAAAATCTTGCCCATTTATCACCCCGGAAATAAAAGCATCCATGATCAAAAGAGACCAGCTCCACAGTCTTTTCAGGAAAACACGTGATCATTATGATTGGCTTAATTTCAGAGAGGCCCACAATTTTACAAAAACCGCACTTGTTAATGCACAGAAAGAATATGTACTGAAGGAAGTTCAGCAACACAGAAACAATACTGGGTCACTTTGGAAGGTAATTAAAGAAAATATAGCGTATAGGGAAAGAGAGTCGGTGGTCTACAGTAAGGAACCGAAATTAGTGGCCGAAGAGTTTAATCATTTCTTTTCCACCATTGGTGTGAATGCAGCAAAGAAAGCCTCAACACTAATACAAGATCCTAGTGTTTATCCAGCTCGGAATCTTTCTGACGTAAATCGCACAGATAACAGCTACCCTGAAGAAAATGATAGATTTAGTTTCACCCCAGTCTCTTGTTCAGAAATAAGGAACATCATATTAGCTATGCCGTCAAACAAATCACCCGGCAAAGACAAAGTGAGTATGCGTGTCATCAAACACAGCCTACCGGTAATTCTTGGGCCCCTCACCGATATCATTAACTGTTCACTGTTGTCATCTTCGTTCCCTATAGCATGGAAAGAGGCAGAAGTTATCCCTTTGTTAAAGGATGGAAACCACGAGGAAGCATCAAATAACCGCCCACTTTCTCTCCTTACCTTTCTTTCGAAAATTTGTGAAAAAGTCGCCTTGAATCAATTTGGTTCGTATCTAATGAAGAACAAAAAATTGTCAACCCACCAGAGCGGGAACAAGAAACATCACTCATGCGAAACATTGAATCTTTTGACCGGAGATACTATCCTAAAGGCATGGATGGGAAATTGGTTACTGCACTGATTCTAATAAATCTATCTAAAGCTTTCGACAGTGTAAATCATACTTTTCTCCTTACAAAACTTAGCAACGTCGGGGCTTCTCCAAGCGTTGTAAAATGGTTTGAGAGTTACTTGACCGGAAGAACTCAATCAGTCAGAATTGGATCTACTGTGTCTACTCCTCTCCCTGTTTTTTATGGTGTACCACAGGGTGCAATTTTATCACCTTTACTTTTTAGTATTTATACTAACGATTTGCCCTCATCAGTCCACCATAGTAAACTTGAATCGTACGTGGACGACTCCAAGATATTACTATCTTTCACTGTGGCTAACGTGGACTGTTTAAAGCAACAACTTGAGGAAGACTTGTATTTGATTGCAAACAGTTGTTCCGAAAATGAATTGCTTATTAACCCGGGAAAGACCAAATACATGCTGATTGGCACACGGCAAAACCTACAACAACTTCCCGTAGATATGACCATAAACTTCCTCAACGAGACTATTACCCCCGTCTCCTTTGCCAAAGATCTAGGAATGACAATCGACTCTTATTTGACATATGACCAGCACATCACCAACCTGGTTTCCTCATGTATGAATTCCCTGTGCCAAATAAACCGAGTCAAAAAATGTTTCGATAAAGAAGCTTTAACTCTCATCGTCTCGGCACTTGTAATGAACAAAATGTTCTATTGTTCAACGGTTTGGTCAAACACTTCGTCTACCAACATTAAGAAACTACAGTTGGTACAAAATTTTGCATGCAGGATAATAACAAATATTGGAAAGTTCGACCATATTTCGCCGGGTTTACGCGAACTTAACTGGCTCCCAGTAAAGGAACAATTACTACTAAGAGAGGCTATTACGATGTACAAATGTGTCAATGAACTTGCTCCACATTATTTGAGCGATTTATTCACAAAACTTTCTGACATTCATCAACGAGATACACGTAGCCATGACTCACTGCAAATACCATTGTACAAAACTTCTGCAGGTCAAAGGTCCTTTCATTATAGAGGCGTTACACTCTGGAATGATTTGGACATAAAGTACAAAAAGTTAGACTCCCTAAAAACTTTCAAAAACGAACTGAAGCGAAGCATGCTAGAACAAATATATAAGTAGATAATTTTACCTTGTTAAACTTTATACAAATGTCTTACCTTTTTACCTTAATTTAAATTCTAGATTCTAAAACTTGTAAATAGAACAACATTTATTTTTTGTAAATCAGTGTTGAAAATCCCTATTTAGGGAACACAATAAAGTATGTATGTATGTATGTATGTACAGTAGGAAATTTGTTAAAAGGAAGAGAAGAGACTGGAGACTAGTGTGTTGCCATGACAACCACATGACCTCCCAAAAATATTCATATGGGTGCACCCACTAAGTGTACCAAGTTCCATTGAATTTTATTAAATATTCACCAACATATAAGATTTTCTTGTTATTGCCACTATTTCGAGTAAAAAAAAATGACGTCACAACTCAAAATATAGAAAGTGCGATAACTTGGGAATGAGATGAGATATGAATAAACCAGGGCGCTTATAATAAACTGTAAAGGTCATTCTTCATCATTTCAGCAGTCAAAAATTAGTCAAAAATTCCGTTTCCTAGGCACTTTATTAAATATTTTTCGAACGCTGATCGGGTTTTTATGGACTCGTATATTTTAAAATGAAGAACTGTATTAAACCATTGGGAAAAAGTATCAATCGTCGATTTAAAATATGGTTGAGTGTACTCAGCATGACGATGCTAGAATTTATGCCAGACTTTTATCATGTTGTTTGTTTGTCGTTAAAATGTCACGGGCCATGGGCATGGCGGAGGGATTTAATGGTAATCCTAAAGCCTGATTTCCACTAGGCGGAATTTTGCGCGCGGAGCGACATTTTCCGCAGCCACAAAGTTGAAAGCAGTTCAACTTTTTCAGTTTCCGCGCGGAAAATGTCGCTCCGCGCGCAAAATTCCGCCTTGTGGAAATCAGCCTTAAGAGACGTCTCATCAGCCTTGGTCTTGGCCGATCAGAATAATCGGAATTCGATTATTTTTTCCTTTACCTTTTACACGAGCTTCGAAACGCTCTGCTTCCTCTTCAATATCTTGACAAAATAAAATTAAAACAAGATGTAGCACTGCGTAAAATGAATCATAACCTCCATCAAATTGTCCTCTATAAAGTGTTCCCCCTCTACCAAGCGCCTATGTTCATTGTAGATTTATATAGTTCTATACCTACTATTTTAAGAGGATTAAGGTTACGTGATGGCCGCACCCCCACCCCCTAGTGTCCGTCACTGTCTTTGAGCAAAAGTTGTAGTGTGCATTGGCCTTCGACACATGATGCAACATCCAAAAATTTTAGTTATACACTTGACAATAGTTAGCAAAAGCAACAACTAAAGTCTCATTGCGCAACATGCTTAAATTGTTTACTTCCCTGGTTGGAAAACTTGCATCAAATTCCCAGGTGTAGCTGCGAGTGATCTCGATTGATCAGTTGCGAGCCGCGAGTGGACCTATAATCTAATGCTAGCTACGAACAAATTTGACCAAAGCCAATCAAACCCTAACACAACGTTAAATATGTATTTTAGTCTAGAAAAAATTTGATACTGTATGAAGAACATTCCATCATTGGATATTTGATTTCATTTAAGTTATCTTTAATATTCAATATTACTGTGAAAAATGGCTCTTCTTGTCCCTATTCATGCTAATTGTATCAAAATGTTTTGAAATTTTACATCAATTGCATTTATATTATTTATAAATCGACATGTATGACAGATTAGAAAGGATTTTACATATCAGAATGATCTATTAATATGATCTAATATTTCTAGGTTTTTTTACCTCGTAATCTCGATAAGGCAGCGGTTTTTACCATTCAATACTACATTTTGCTAGGTCCTTTTAGTGTAAATTGAATATTTATCGTTCTATAAGTTAAATCCTTCGCAAAAATTTTCAAGAACTAGAAATTAATTGTAAATAACAAAATAGTCCTGAAATAATACTTTACGGAGAAAGGACGCGGGCGGCGGACCAGAAACTAAAGATTAACTTGTAGTGGCCTAACCAAAGCAATCGTGTCAAAATAAAGGTTACTTCCAAATTTTTTCGCGACGTTTTTACGATTATTTTCCGCTTTTCGACGGTTTGTTGATAATATTAAAATCTTTTGTGAAATTGACTTTGAAACAAATTATAGCGATATTAATTTTATTTTATTACAACGACGTTTCGATGCATCATTTTCAAGTTAGGGGCCAAACCTTGTATATGTCAAGAGTAAAAAACTTTTTTTACTTTTAGCACTTTTTATAACTATAAATGTGAATACAAAAACATATAAATTATTAATTAAAACAAACAACTGTGTTACTGCAACAACGGGATGAACTTATCGTATAGAAAAGGAGAGTTATACATGCAGAAAGCTTTTATATTTGTACTGTTGAATTCATCATTGAAGGCAAGAATTAGATATTATGAAGTGTTCAAAATGTCAATTTCACAATGGGAAGGAGAGTTCAAAATAGAGGAAAAAGAAATTTGTTTTTGAATTTTTTTAAATTTCGGACATCCGGATTGCAAAAAAAACCCTCCCCCCTATGTTCGCCCCCCCCCCCCCCCCCCCCCCCTCCCTCGGCTCGGACATCCTTTGTGAATGGCCCCTTAACGATAAGAATTATTCGTATATAACGCGGACCGTTATAATTAAAGCTAAATACAGGGGTGGATCCAGCAAAGTTTGTTTTTTTTTGGGCGGGGGGGTGCTAACCAATGAAGAAACAAACAAACGATTATTCAACTATATAGCACACTTGAATTCATTACCTGAAACAGCAATTGCAAAACAAGCTTTCTTAATATCAAAAGACCTATACTCGAATAATAAAATGTCCTTTTATAAAAATGCTATGGATATGTTAAAACACTACAAATGCCACGCGCAAATAGTGGATTTAGAATCAATATCTGCTCAATCATTAAATTCTATCATTGACACTGTTAAACAACGTTACATTACATTCTGGAAACACCAAATTGAACACTCGTCCAAATTATATTTCTACTCAACTTTCAAAAAGGAATACCAATTAGAAAAGTATCTTACCGTAATAAGAAACACAAACCAGAGGAGATCACTGACTCGATTCTGAATAAGCAATCACAAATTAATGATTGAATGTGGTAGATACCACAACATTCCCCGAGAAGAACGAATATGTAAGTTTTGTAAATCAAACGAAATAGAAAATGAGGAACACTTTCTTATTTCATGTGATGCCTACGACAATATTAGGCAAGACTTCCTCACTGTTCTCGCCAACAATACATACCAAAGAGAACAAAATCTATCAGTTGACATATTAAAGTCAACTGAAAATGAAACGATTCTAAAACTATCCAAGTTTGTTCTTTCCTGTTTCGAGCTAAGAGATAAACGCCTTGAGACCAGGGATGCTGAACACTAAAGTTCAATATTATCGTATTTGACCTCTATCTTGTAAATAGCTTCTTTACCTTATTTTAATCTTGTAATAGGTCGTATTTAGCCTGTAGTAGTTAACTTCAGTCTGTATGTTTAGTTATTGTAGTTAAAGCTTTAGCAATACCTGTAACTGTTGGTCATGCTAATAAAGTTATTATACCAACCAGCCGAGCGCTGAAGCCTGAAGGTGCAAGATTTGTAGGGGGTCTGGGGGCATACTCCGGAAATTTTTAAAATTTGGGTCTCTGAAATGGCATTTCCAGCATTATGAGAAAACATTCTGGGAAATTTTTAGATTCTCAAAACATTTAAAAATTCAGAATATTTAATATTGGCTATTCCGCTATTGTCAATTAGTGATACCCAACTGAATTCCTTAACATAAGTTGGTTAGAATTAGGATAAACGTCATTTTTGCACCCCCTCATGCACCCCTGTTGACCACCTGAGTCCCGCACCCCTCCCCTAAATCCACCCCTGGCTAAATATAAATAATTCTTATCTTTAACTTGAAAATGACGCAAAAAGCATCCAAAAGTCGCTGTAATAAAATTGATATCGCTATCATTTGTTTCAAAGTTGTTGATAATAGCAAGGGGCCATTCACAAAGGATGTCTGAGCCGAGGGAGGGAGGGGGGTTTGGAAAATCAGGACAAACTCGGACATATAGGGGGGGGGGGGTTAGCAAACAAATTTCTTTTTCCTCTATTTTGAACTCTCCTTGCCATTGTGAAATTGAGATTTTGAACACTTCATAATATCATCTAATTCTTGCCTTCAATGATGAATTCAACAGTACAAATATAAAAGCTTTCTGCATGTATAACTCTCCTTTTCTATACGATAAGTTCATCCCGTTGCTGCAGTAATACAGTTGTTTGTTTTAATTAATAATTTATATGTTTTTGTATTCACATTTATAGTTATAAAAAGTGCTAAAAGTAAAAAACGTTTTACTCTTGACATATACAAGGTTCCGTGAGTTTTTGCAAGGCAGGCGGATGTCCGCGGGGGAGGGGGGTGTCACTAATTCGGACAATGCCGGACAAGGGGGGGGGAGGAGGGGTCTGAAAATCCATCATTTGGCCGGATATCCTTTGTGAATGGCCCCCAACGTGAAATTCAAGAAATTTTTCCATCTTGCGCTTTTGGGCAAAACTTGAAGTCCGACATTTTTGCTGTCTCGAAGAATTTTTGGTCCCCCCCCCTCCCCTCCGGTAAAATTAGACGGGTTTAGATAACAAGGCGCGGACGTCAAGAGGACGTGAATGTCGTCATTTGGCGCCAACTATCGTCAACTTCTAGTTTGCGACCAGAGGAGGTTGGACAGCAGGCCGCAAAGCATCATGGGTATTGAGCGTCTAATTCCACGCGTGGCTTTCATTGACTGTTGACTGTCGAGGAGTGAACATCTCTCTGACTACAAAACCAATATGGAAGCTTTCGAACGACAAGAGTGTCAGGCTGCGATACTTTG